CCTCTCTCTCCCTCCCTCTCTCTCTCTCTCTCCTCCCTCTCTCCCTCCCTCTCTCCTCTCTTCCTCCCTCCCTCCCTCTCTTTCTCTCCTCTCTCTCCCTCCCTCTCTCCTTTCTCCCCTCCCTCCCTCTCTCTCTCTCCTCTCTCCCTCCTTCCCTCCCTCTCTCTCTCTCTCCCCCTCCCTCCCTCCTCTCCCTCCCTCTCTCTCTCCTCTCCCCTCTCTCTCTCTCTCTCTTTCTATGGCCCAAAGTCACAGAATCGGAAGAAAAGAAATACATAAACCTATAATACATACGACAGAAAAGGGAATTGAACATAGGGGTAGACCTCTGTACCTGTGCAACGTGTTCTCTCGGTGTGCATGTAAAAATTTAACAGAAGGAACATCCTTAGGTCTAGAAAAGCGTTTGATGAAAGGCGGCAACGCAAATGCCCTGCAAAAAGGCAACAGGAAATTAAAGTTAATTATAACGGAGGATTAATTTCAGCCATCAGACATGGCATGCTGGGATAATGTCAGACTTTGGATGCATGGCAATGCACACGGCGGCTCCTGAAGGGACTTTTCTTTTCTTTTTTTTTATGGAAATGGCATAAAACAAGCCTCTCGGCTGGATTCACACGTGGCATTTCGGATGCCCCGATTTGGTCCGGTTTAATGGCAGAAGCAAGTGATGGATGAGATTTAATCATCATCCCGTCTCCAGATTTCAGCTCACGTTTTCTCCCCAGGGTGGTCCCAACCCTGATCTAACTCGTTGAATCTGTTTGATATGGAAAAAAAGCAGGAATGCAAAGATGTTTTTTAAAGGAAGAAAGAGGGAGGGACTTGGTGCTAGAAATTGTATAGGTGAGGTTGGGACAAGGCTATCGACTCCTGTAGGCCACGTTGGGTGTGATGATTCACCAACATCTGGAGGTCCATGAATTCCTCACCTGTTTTGGAGTTAAACTGGAGGTTTAAAAATGCAAATAATATCAGAGAAGGAGAACCGGAGCACAAAAACGTTGTTTAAAATCCAAACCTCTATCTGGTTTGCCTTTTAGTCAAAAATATCGCATTTCTCTTTCTCCGTTAGATGATGCAAGCCATCTAAAAGGGCTTTAGGGAGCACCCAAATCAGGGGTCAGCAACCTTTGGCTCTGGAGCCGCATGTGGCTCTTTCACCCCCTCTGCTGCGGCTCCCTGTCACTCAAAATATGCGTCACAACCGCCAATGTGCGACGCCCACCGACACGCAATTTATTGAGCTTTTCAACCCCCGGTAGGCCAACCATGGATAAATCCAAGAAAAGAAAAGTTTCAGAAGGAAACAGAACGTTTAATTCAACTACATATGCTAGTTTTGTGGCCGCTCAAGAAATAGTCAGGCACGGGAAGGGTTTTGTGACTCCCGGTGTTTTCTTTTCTGTGGGAAACGGGTCCATAAGCCGCGGTGGCGCAGTGGTTAGAGTGCAGTACTGCAGCTACTTCAGCTGACTGCTAGTTCAGCAGATCAGCGGATCAAATCAAGGTTGACTCAATCTTCCATCCTTCCGAGGTGGGTAAAATGAGGACCCAGATCGTTGGGAGCAATATGCTATTTAGTATACCGTCTTTGGTGTAAGCCGCCCAGAGTCCTCGGAGAGTGGGCGGCATAGAAATATGAATAATAAATGGCTCTTTGAGTGTTTGAAGTTGCAGACTAAGATTTTAATCTTACAAATCAGGGGAAGGTAGCCTATTTCAGAATTGTTTCGCTGCTATCTTGGCTGTCGTCTCTCAGGACTTCTTAGAAGTGTCCTCCGGTGGTTCTGCGTTGAGCTTCGGTCGTCTCACAACCTCTGTGCCAGTTTTAATTTTGGGTGTCAAATCTCTTCTGCTCTTTGCTATTTTTAGAGGGCCTGAATGCAGAATATGTGAAAGGAGAAAACATGGAGCAAGTGGTGACCGAAGAGCCACAAGGTGAGTGAGTGAGTGTGTGTGTCCTTAAGGTCACACTGTGTCACAAGGGGGTGTGTGTGTGTGTGATGCACAGTGTCCCAACTTTGTGGTGACAGCTCAGGAAGGGCCTGGTTTTTGAAGGCCTGCAGAACTGTAGCCTGTGTGTAGACCACGAGTTGTGACTGTACTTTATTTCCAAATATGTATCTAGGGCCTTCGCTTAGATGTCTTGGGCTTCTTTTGTTGGAAGCAAGGTCTTAGTAGGTCTTTAAGCCTTCTTCTCGATTTCCCAAGATGTCCCACCTCTGAGGAGGTGAAATGAGGAGAAAGCCAAGGGAAATCATCAAAACCATAAAAGAGCGGAAGTTAGAAAGTTAGAATATTTTGGACCTGTGATGCAACGGCTGGAAAAATACGGCGTCCTTCACTTAATCCTCCAAGGAAAGATTGAAGGCAAATAAGGTCCAGGCTGAAGAAGAACATCATGGATTTAAAATCTAAGGGACTGGTTTGGACAAAACTCAACAGTTTTGTCCTGCATCCAGTTTTGGTCAAAACAAGAATGTTGAGACGTTGGGAAAAAGTGCAGAGAAGAGCAGCTAAGACGGTGAAAGGCCTGGAGACAAAAACATAGGAAGAACTGGTTGCAGAAATTGGATATGGCCAGTCTAGAGAAAAGAAGGACCAGGGGAGACATGATAGCATGTTGGGGCTACCACAAAGAAGAGACAGTCAAGCTATTCTCCAAAGCCCCTGAGGGCAGGACAAGAGGCAATGGGTGGGAACTTATCCAGGAGAGAAGCAACCTAGAACTAAGGAGAAATTTCCTGACAGTGAGAACAATTAATCAGTGGAACAACTTGCCTCCAGAAGTTGTGAATGCTCCAACACTGGAAACTTTTAAGATGTTGGATAACCATTTGTCTGAAGTGGTGTAGGGTTTCCTGCCTAAGCAGGGGGTTGGACTAGAAGACCTCCAAGGTCCCTTCCAACTCTGTTATTCTCTCCTCTCCTCTCTTCTTCTCCTCTTCTCTCCTCTCCTCTCCTGTCCTCTTCTCTTCTCTCCTCCTCTCCTCTCCTCTCCTCTCCCCTCCCCTCCTCTCCTCTCTTCTCTCCTGTCCTCTTCTCTCTTGTCCTCTTCTCTTCTCTTCTCTTCTCTTCTCTTCTCTTCTCTTCTCTCCTCTCCTGTCCTCCTCTCCTCTCCTCTCCTCTCCTGTCCTTCTCTTCTCTTCTCTCCTCTCCCCTTCTCTCCTCTCCCCTTCTCTTCTCTCCCCTCCTCTTCTCTTCTGTCCTCTCCCCTTCTGTCCTCTCTCCTTCTCTTCTCTTCTCTTCTCTTCTCTTCTCTTCTCTTCTCTTCTCTTCTCTTCTCTTCTCTTCTCTTCTCCTCTTCTCTTCTCTTCTCTTCTCTTCTCTTCTCTCTTCTCTTCTCCTCTCCTCTCCTCTCCTCTCCTCTCCTCTTCTCTTTCTTCCCGTTCTATTTTGATTGATTGATGAACGTGGCCTTCTATAGTTGCAGGCGAGTGTGCATGTTTCTTATTTTCCCACAAAACCAAACTAAAATTTTCTCTTTTTTTTTCCTTCCCTAGTGAAATACTCTGTCCTAGAACCCCAGACAGCAGAAGCTCCGCCGCCTCAAGAAAACGCAAAAGTCTGAAGTCTCCGCCCTCCGGCTTACTTTAAAAAAAAAAAAAAAAAAAAGGAAACCAATTGTTGGCGCAGAAAAAAAAACAAAACAAAAAACAAAACGAAACACATCACACACACACGAGCGCACACACGCACACACACATCCACACGCTCCTCTCACACAATTTGTAATTTAGCTTTGAAACGAAACGTTTTCATTTGGATTCCAAAGCGATTTAAATGTGCATTTTCCCCCCTTTGACTAGGGCAGGCTTCTTATTTGTGGTAGGCTTGTAGAACTGGTTGAAAAAAAGAAAAAAAAAGAAAAAAAGAAATGATGATGATGATGATGATGATGTTTTTTCGGGGTTGATTTTTGTTTTTGTTTTTTAATTTTTTTTTAATTTTTAATATATCGTTTTGTGACGAGTCGTAGGTTTACATTGCCATGGGTCATGTCTGAGCTTGGGTCAGGTTGAATATGAGATGCAACAGTTCTTCCAAATAGTTGTTTCATCGTAGAAGTAGGGGTGGTTCATATATGAATGACATTTTGATGGGACGGGATGCGGAAGAGGAGGCGGCGGTGGCGAAGGTGACAAAAGAAACAGGTGTGAGAACAATGGAAGTGCCTGTAGGTGACCAACCCCAAAATAGACCAGGTGGAAAGCTTTAGCCAAGTTACACGTAGAGCTTCCGTCGAGGTCCTGGTGAGCTCCTTGAGGAGATGGGCTTCCAAGAGACAATTCAAGACCGATGCGACAGCCTTTCATAGGTCGGGGGCCGAGAAGAGACTGTGGCCCTACAGAACTGGGCTTCATTTCAGCTAGGAACAATCGTCCATTGTTGGGTTTGCTTTGAGTAGGATGAGGGATCTGTGCGAATACACGGCAAGAAGCTAAAGGGGAACTGAGCCTGACTGTGCTTACCGCCGAAAAGGGCTCTTCCTCCCCACCTGTTTAGTGGTCCATTTGGGCAGAATACGGGGGCTTCTGGCTTCTTGTTGGTTTTTTTCCAACTTCGCGGAAGGGTCTCTCCAAAGCTTGAATTTGAAGAGAACAGCTTGAGAGGGAAGATGTACCGAGGGGTGCATTGATTCATCTGCATACCCGACCCTGCACTCTAGTTCGGTCTGAAGGGATGAGACGTCCAGCACAGAATGAATGGGCTAAAATCCAGAAAAGGGATTTGATTTCGGGAAATGCCCGCAACGGTGATTTTGAAATGTCGCGCCTTCGGGTTTTCGAGGCCTGTTGGCTTCAAACATTCTCCAGTAGGTATTTTAGGGGCCTGTCATCACATCCCAAGGATTCGTACTTCGGGCCTGGGGTTCCCCAAGGAACTCGATGTGAGTTCAGTTGGATTGTGGGCCGCTGTGTTTTATCTGGTTGTGTCCAGCCTTTGAAAGGTCCTTTTCAAGGAGAGGATGAGATGTTGGCCACTTGAGCTCTTTGCCTGGTTGGAGCCCAACTTTTAGAACCTCCTTCTATACATGGAAGGTGCCCTTTTGTTTGTGTCTCTTGGCACATCAGAAAGCTTCTGGGTCCTTCTCCTAGGAAAGCCCAGAGACCACATAGAGCTGAGCCAAGATGGGCTCTCCTTGGTGGGATTTGTCCTATTGGCCATCATCTGTACCCAACAAGTAGTACAAGGTTGCTTTGTCATCTCTGGGGGAGGACAAACCATCCCTGAGAGTAGGATGAGACAGGCCGTTGCTACCTAAATCCTCCATCCGGTTCATATCAAACCAGCTTAGCTGCTCTCCCCATTGTGCCTAAACAGTCACTTGTTGGGCTTAAATTTCCTTGCCTTAACTAGAAACCATGAGGAGAGTCTTAGGAACAGTGGTGAGATACCTACTACTGTTCGTGGTCTCCTTTTGGTTGGCTCTTGAAGGGGAAGTCCACTCCTAGCTCTACACCAGGGTTGTCTACCCTTGGCCGCTTCTAAGACTTTGTGGACTTCAACTCCCAGAATTCCCCAGCCAGCATGTCTTAAAAGCGGCCAAGGCTGGACACCTTACTTTACACAGTGGTGCAAATGGGGATTCCCAGAAAAAGGCCACGTGGCTGCCAGTTGTCACTCTTTCCCAGATCAAACCTCGATCCCTGGTTTGTCTTGAATTTAGCTGGATCCCAGTTATAATTTTTATATTCCCACAGGGGCACCAGAGGGAAGTGTGAAGACAAGGGACTTTCTAGCCTTATTTTGGGAGAATTTTGATTAACAACTACTATCGGTGTTAGCCCAGAGGGATCAGCAACAGCCCTATCCTGTGGAGCTGAGCAAGAAATGAGCTTGAATGCTGGCCCATGTTGGTCATTCTCGACCTAAGTCCTGTTAGCCGTGCATTTCACCATTGTAGCAAGGTGTACATTTTCACATGCAAGATTAGGGTATTTTTATTTTTTAAATATCTCTTTAGTGCATGTATCGGTCCATGATATGTATTACACGGTGTTGAAGGGGGGGGAGGGGAAAAATTGTGGATCAAATACCTAATTTCAGATTTCATTTACAAACTAATCCTGTTGTGATGTTTGTAGAGGGACTTTTCTGGTAGGGTTTCAAGGCGGGAATCATCGGAGCTAGAGGTCTACATGGCGTGGTCAAAAAAAAAAAAAGGCCCAGGTGATGGTCACGGTGCTTAAAAGAATGGACAGAACTTCAAATGTGCTAGCGTGGCTGCCATATTTACGTTTTTTTGACCACATTTCGTGGACCTACCAGAGCGAAGACTTCGTTTGATTGAGGCATGTTCAACCTTCTGTAGATGTTGCTGTGTGTTGAGGAAATTTCCGGATGGATCTCTTAATGTCAGGAGCACGACCAGCTGTATCTATAGGGGTTTAAGGAAATTTTACCCTGAGACCCTCATCTTCATCCATGATGGAGGTGACTCCCATGGATTTCAGCAGAGTGTCAATAATACGAGGTGGCTATAAATGCCAGCCCAGATGTTGGTGGGGATTCCTTCTGCTTTGGTTAGGCTTCATAATTTGCAGTCCTCAATAAGACCTTTAACAAAATGTGTATATTTTGGATGTACTAAATTCTCTTTATCTCACCCCCATCTCTCCCCATCTTCTAATTTTATTGTCTTTTAAGACTCAAAATTAGGACTTGGAAGGCCAACATGGCGGAATTAGAGGAGGACTGCAATTTATTTAAGGAAGTCGCTGAGATGACTTCTCTTTGGTGGGATTCTCCTATGGAGGGATTCTCCTATGAGGGACTCGCAGTTCGACCAAGAGCTACTTTAGGAAAATAATTTTGAAGGTTTCCCATTTTTGAGGTGGCCCTAAATTTTGTAGAGCAGAGAAGTCCAAGGTGAACTCAACCACACAGAGGAAATCTACATCATAGCCTCTTTCCAACTACCGTCTCTCTTTTTTAAAGAAAGATAAGTCAAGTACATCAAACATTAGACTAGGGTTATAGTGATGCATCTTTAGATAAAATAGTGGGGAAATGGTGGCTGTACTTGGACTAGAAATCATTTTTCTCACCTAGATGGAAATTTTCTTTTCTTACTTTCTTTCTTTTGGCCAATTACGGAGAAACGTTTACTGTAGGTGTAAAATTGTCTGTTTCGTTGTCTTTCTATTACTGTCCTGCCACTGATCTACATCTTGAAATACTGTGTCTCGGAACAGTTTTGCTACTACCCACATCGATGTTTGAAAAATGTGATGTATTGCAGATTCTATGAACAAAAATAATAAGAAGAATAAAATTGTCCCGAGTGTTAAGGACAAAAAAAAAAGAAAAAATAGCTACCAGGTTTTCAAGATGTAGCAGTTGATCAAACTGTGAGGTACTTCCTTTCCCCAAAAGTCTTTTTGTATGAATTTGGTAAATGGTTATGCCTTAATGTAAATTTTAGATAGTCCAGCGGAAGGGAGGTATTTGTAGAATACAACTCAACGTCGGGTACAAAGAGCAACAATGACTGTTATTGCCTCCCCAGACCACAATCAACAGCGTAGTCTTCCCCAGAAGTCAAGACTTAAAAGTTCTTGTGCCCTGGTTTAGTTCTTTCCCTGAACAACAATGGCCCAGGCATGGTCTCCATGGAGTGGGTTCCTGTCTCCAGGCCACCAAGGTGTAGGAGGAAGACCCTACCAGGTTGACTTTCCGACCTTCAGAAATCCTCCTGTGGAGCAGGAGAGGTCTACCAGATGGGTGTAGGACAACTCGCTGCGGCCAGCTCACTGTGGGACAATTCAATGTTGCATTGATCATTTCATTCAGTTGCTTTTTATCATGGGTGACCCTGTTTTTGTTGACATGTACTCTTGTCCCAAAGGTGTTTTTTTTCCAAAGACAACTGGACTTTGGGTTTTAAAAAAAAAATTCCTAGAAGATGTCTATGGAGATTCTCAGTCATCCAGTCATGGGTGTCCCAAAGGTGCTTTTTTCCAAGAAGCAACTTCCTGGTTTTTCATTGAAGACGTTTTGCTTCTCATCCAAGACGCTTCTCCAGCTCTTGCATAGGTAAATGTCTATGGAGATTCTCAGTCATCCAGTGAGGGTTGTCCCAAAGGTCCTTTTTTTTTCAAGAGGCAACTGGACTTGAAGACGTTTCGCTTCTCTTCCAAGAAGCTTCTTCAGAGGTGAAGGAACTCCTTGGATGAGAAGCGAAACATCTTCAAGGAAAACAACCAAACAAAAACCAGTTGGCTTTTGAGGAAAAAAACTCCTTTGGGACAACCATGACTTGGATGACCAAGAATCTCCATCGATATTGTTCAGTCTTGTATTTCTGGGATTGACATTATTTTATGATTATCGTTCACGGTTCCGTCGAAATTTAACTTTTTTTTTTAATTGGTTGAATTGTCCCTTGTGGGGAGTTGACCATGATGAGTTGGCCATGGCAAGTTGTCACCCCGTACCAACTCTATTGCCCTTGAAACACCCAAAGTTAGAAACGGAGATTAAAAAAAAAAACCCATGTTGAAGATGATACAATTGAGCCTGAGATTTTGTGCAACAAGACGATTGTGTTTGACCCGTTTGGGGCCGTTGTTGGAAAGTTGAGAGATTCCAGGGATCAACATCGGAGAGTCATTTGCATGCCAGACATGTGCTCCTTTTCACAGAACTTTGAATCTTTTTCCCCCACTGGGGAATTCTTTTCCGTTGTCTGTATATTCAACCCAACAGTATGTTTGGCTTTTTCCTGGCTAACTTCTCGGTATAGCAATGCCAGCTGTGCTGTACCACACCTCCGGGAAAGCGGGTGTCTGCGTGTCCGTTTCCGTTTTTTCTACTCTGCTTTTTTTTAATATGGGTAATTAAAACGATCCGTGAGCTGAAAGGCCGCATCACGTCGGCGTAGCCAGATGTTCAGAGCGGGACAAAATAACAGGCATTTGAAGTCTTCCATCAGGCCAAAGATGTATATATATATATGTAGAGATCACATATTGTGCCCTGAATTTATATGCAACACGTGTTCTTGGAAGTTAAAACGAGACATCTAATTAAGAGGAGAAGAAGAAAAAGAGTTTCCTGTTAGGAGAAAACGTAGGAGGAACTCTAGCCACTTCTACTTTTTAAAAGAACTGGCGTAGATTTTTTTTAACCTTTCTCTCCTTCTCGTTTGCAATTTCTTTTCTTTTGGCAAATACGGACCGGTGTCAGTTGTCGCTTTCTCGTAACAACCGACAGGAAAACGGTTCGCTCGTTGTCCAAGCCTCTGCTGCGGTAGGAAGGTTTAGCGTTCATCCGAAGTGGTAGAACCGAAGAGCGGAAAAGCTAGAACAAAAAACAAAAGGAGGGAGGAAAAATGGGAAGGGGAAAAAAAAAAAAAGGAAGCGATGAGATCGGAGACGAGCGATTCAAAAGAGGGGACGGCATATCCAAAGAAGCGAAAGCTTTTATTTTTAAAGCAATACATACATACCGTTGGCTAATACAGAAAGGATCTATCTGCCCCAGTTGAAAATTGTGGGTTGTGTTGTCTTAACAAAAGTTTTAAAATGTTAAGAAAAAAAAAAGGCAGACTCATTTTGCTAAAGTGCATATAAGAATTATTATGGGGGATGGCTATCCAAATTTGAATGCTGAAGTACAAACTGGAAAAAAAACAAAACCTAAAATAAATGGAAAAAAAATGACTTGTAAACAAATCACTGTGTTTTTGTGTCGCCTCTGTGGGTGCATTGCACTTTTAAGAGATGCAGGGAGTTCTCGACTTACGACAGTTCATTTAGGGACCAAAGTTACAACGGCACTGCAAAAAGTGACTCGTGAACTGTTTTTCACACTTAACAAAACATTGCAGCCTCCCCCACAGTCAGGGGATCGAAATTTGGAGGCTTGGCAACTGGCCCGTGTTTATTTTTATTTTATTTTATTGATTTTCTGTTAAATACATTCCTTTACTGCTTATTAGAATATAATAGAAATATAGAAATAGAATAAGAATAAAACAACATAATAGAATAAAAATATAGGAATAGAAATAGAAATATGAATAGAACAGAATAAATTAGAATAGAATATAGAATAGAATAATAAAACGGAACAATAGAATAAAAATATAGGAATAGAATAGAATAGAAATATAGAATAAGAATAAAACAATATAATAGAATAAAAATATAAGAATAGGAATAGAATAGAAATATAGAAATAGAATAAGAATAAAACGTAATAGAATAAAAATATAGGAATAGAAATAGAAATATGAATAGAACAGAATAAATTAGAATAGAATATAGAATATAGAATAAAATAATAAAATAATAAAACGGAACAAAACAGAATAAAAATATAGGAATAGAGTAGAATAGAAATATAGAATAAGAATAAAACAATACAATAGAATAAAAATATAAGAATAGGAATAGAATAGAAATATAGAAATAGAATAGAATAAGAATAAGAATAAAACCAGAACATAATAGAATAAAAATACAGAAATAGAACTAGAGTAGAATAGAAATAGAATAAAACAACAGAATAGAACAAAAATATAGGAATAGAAATAGAAATCTAGGACTAGAATAGAATAGAATAGGAATAGAATAGTGGGGAGGGACCTTAGAGGTCTTCTAGTCTAATCCCCTGCTCGGGCATTAAAAGATTTTTGTAAGTGCGCTGCAGAATTTCAGCAGTGTGGCCAAAAGTATGTAGAGTTTTGGGATGCGAGGTGGGCATCCTAAACCATGTTTTATAGCAGTTCCATCCAGTTTTCGTGGTCGATGATGTCCAGAGTGGAGCAGTGCCACTGTCAATACCTTCCAATGATGGTTTTCTCCAGGCTGCTTTGAGACAGAACTGAGCACCTGTGGCAACGTGCACGAAGGACAATCTTGGCCAACCAACCCACTGTTTTGTGACTCGACTTGTCTGGCCTTAAGATTGTGACAAGACACCCACTGTCTGTCGCTAATGGTGGCCAGGCTTTTTCTTTTTCTTTTAAGAGAGAAATAACTTGAGTTGTTCAAGAGAAAAGGCAGAAAGACACAGTAGCTTTGGAGTGTGTCGGAGCACCAAAAATAAAAATTCAACCTGTGCGAGAACTTTTTTTTATTTAGCTCCTTGGTTACAATTTGCTCTCTTTCCTAAACTTGTAAAGAGAGAGAGAGAGAGAGAGAGAGAGAGAAGAAAAAAAGAGAAGAGAAAGAGAAGAGAAAAAGAAAGAGGAGAGAAGAGAAAGAGGAGAAAACGGAGAGAGAAGAGAAAGAAAGAAAGAGGAGAGAGCGAGCTCTTGTAGAGAATTTTTTAACCAAGTTTGTCCACCTGCTTAGATGCCTAAGGAAGGGTAAAGACCATTGAAAACTTTAAAAAAATACCCAATTCTGGAAAATAGCAATAACAATTAGACTTATATACCACTTTACAGTGCTTCCCAGCCCTCTCGAAGGAAGGAAGGAAGGAAGGAAGGAAGGAAAAAAGGAAAATACCAATAACAATAGCACTTAAGACTTATATACAGCTTCACAGCCCTCTCTAAGCGGTTTACAGAGTCAGCCTCCTACCCCCAACAATTTGGGTCCTCATTTTACCGACTTCAGAAGGATGGAAGGCTGAGTCAAGCTTGAGCCAGTCAGGATTGAACTCCTGGCAGTGGGCAGAATTAGCCTGCAATACTGAATTCTAACCACTGGGAGGGAAGGAGAAGGAATACGAATAGCAATAGCACTTGGACTTATATACCACTTCACAGTGCTTTATAGCCTTCTCTAAGCGGTTTACAGAGTCAGCCTCTTGCCCCCCAACAATCTGGGTCCTCACTTTACCCACCTCGGAGGGATGGAAGGCCGAGTCAACCTTGAGCCAGTCAGAATCGAACTCCTGGCAGTGGGCAGAGTTAATAAAGAGCAATAGCTCTTAGACTTATATACCGCTTCACAGTGTTTCACCCTCTCTAAGCCCTTTACAGAGTCAGCCTCTTGCCCCCAACAATCTGGCTCCTCATTTTACCCACCTCGGAAGGATTGGAAGGCTGAGTCAACCTTGAGCCTGGTGAGATTCGAACTGCCAAACTGCAGGCAGTCAGCAGAAGTAGTCTGCTGTACTGCCCTCTAACCACTGCGCCACCAAGAAAATGAAATACGGTACAGGTAATCCTCGATTTACAACCACAGTCGAGCCCAAAATTTTATGTTGCTAAGTGAGAAATTTGTTGAGTTTTGTCCCATTGTAACACATTTTCCCGCCACGTTACTTAAGTGAATCCCTGGGAGTTCTTAAATGAGTAAATGAATCTGGCTTCTCCCTCGACATTGCTTGTCAGCAGGTCGCAAAAGGGACATTGCAAAACCGTCATAAACGTTGAGTCGGCTGCCAATCATCCAAATGTAAATCATGTGACCGTGGGGAAAATTAGGGCGTGTCAAAATTTTTCAACTTTCCATTTCCAAACGTTAGGGGTGCTCAGAAGTTGTGACGTGCCTCGGGAATTGTAAAGATATTTTGGCTACTTTTAATATAATTTAGATGAGCTTGGTAAGCAACTGCCTAAGTATCACAACTTTTTAACATTTTGTTTCATTGGGGTTGCTGCAGGAGTGGCGCGGTGGCCTAGAGGGGGAGCTCTCGCCTCACAATCAGGAGGCTGTGAGTTCGATCCTAGGTAGAGGCGGATATTATATCCGCTGAATATAACTCCTCATTGGTGACAGGAACGGCATCTGGCCACAACGGTCCTAAGTGTGAGAAACAGGCGTAAGTCACTTTTCTTAGTCCTGTGGTTGCTTTGAATGGTCGGTAAACGAACCGTCGTTAAGTCGAGGACTACCTACAACCCAGCCGATTCTGTCTCTCTGTTGTAAAAGGGAGCAGGAAGTTCAGAAAAGGTGCAAAATAACCAGTCTTCAATAATCCAGGCATTCGAAGATTCCTTGGGCAAGCAGCAGCTTCGTCTCTCAAGCGACAAATCCAGCTCGTTGCTTTTTAAAACATCTTTATTCAAAATATACAACTGCTATAGGAATAATAATAATAATAATAAAAAACCATATCCATTTCAAAGTGCATCGAGGTCATCGGAACAGTCCCCCTAAATTCAGTGTTGGCTGTGCCTTGCTTTCCCCTTCTCCGAGAAACCCACCTACCCACCACGAATGAAGTACCACGGAAGGCGGATAAGTTTTCCCTTCCCAGACTTGAAGCCAACTGGATATGATTTGTCACTTTCGGAGGATGTGATGCTGGAATACGGCGCCTCCCCAACGGCTTGCCCGAGCCGACGGAATTCCTGCTTTTGCTGCAAAGTTTTAACAGGAAGTTTAAAAAGAGTTTGGCTATCGATTCAAAACGCTCAACGTTTTTAAAAGAACGACAAAGAAAGAAACGAGCAAGCATCACTCCACAGCGCGATACTGCAAGGAAATACTTTTTGGCTTTACTGTAACAGACACCGAGGAGACCTCCAACCCCCCCCCCCGCCTCAGCCCTCCACCCCAAATAACCACCGGAGGGAGGGAGGCAGGGAGGGAGGAAGGGTTTCTGGCAGCAGGTAACGTGTCTGTAGTAAACCTCGCGGCCTCGCTGGTCGGTCAGACGGAAGTGTGGACTGGGGTGACGGCGGGAGGAGACCCTCGCTCGGAGGAAGACGAGATGGAGCGCTTCGCAGCTTCCCGCTGCAGTTCTTCCACCCTCTTTTGAAGCTCGGTTCGGATGGCGAGGAGTTCCTTCAGGTTCTGGTGAATTGGGATCTGTTGGGACGGAAGACAGGTTTGGGTTGGCTTTGAAAGAGCCCAGGGTCAAGATTGGAACCGTCTCCCAAGTGTTCATCATTCAGCAGTGTGCGGCGGCAGCCAAAAAAGCCAACGCAATCCTAAACTGCATTAACAGAGGGATACAATCAAGATCAAGGGAGGTACTAATACCACTCTATAAAGCCTTAGTAAGACCACACCTAGAGTACTGCATCCAGTTTTGGTCACAACACTATAGAAAAGATGTTGAGACTCTAGAAAAAAGTGCAGAGAAGAGCAACCAGGATGATGAGGGGACTGGAGGCTAAAACATATGAAGAACGGTTGCAGGAACTGAGCATGGCTAGTCTAGTGAAGAGAAGGACCAGGGGAGACATGATAGCAGTCTTATTTATTTTATTTATTTATTTTATTTTATTTTATTTTATTTTATTTTATTTTATTTTATTTTATTTTATTTTATTTTATTATTTTATTTTATTTTATTTTATTATTTTATTTTATTTTATTTTATTTTATTTTATTTTTTTATTTTATTTTCATTTGATTTATATGCCGCCCTTCTCCGGAGACTCAGGGCGGCTTACAATGCATAAAGCAATAGCCTTCATCCTTTTGTATATTTATACAAAGTCAGCTTATTGCCCCCTCAAACTGGGTCCTCATTTTACCCATCTTAGAAAGGATGGAAGGCTGAGTCAACCTTGAGCCTGGCGAGATTCGAACCTGCAGTAATTGCAGGCAGCTGGTCTTAATAACAGGGTGCTTTAGACCACTGTACTACCAAGGCTCTTATTTATTGCTTCGATTTATATGCCGCTCTTTTCCGGAGACTCAGGGCGGCTTACAATGCGTTAAGCAATAGCCTTCATACTTTTGTACGAAGGGCGGCATATATAAATCGAACCAATAAATTAATCAACAAATAAATTAAGTTATTATTTTAAAGTGTTAGAAGAAAGACAGAAATATCTTTGCTGATTTGGAAGTGGGGGGGAGGGGGAAATCACAAAGGAAGGGAAGGTTAAACCTCCCCAGCTTGCAAAGATAAAAAAAATTACCTTGCAGGAGGCTTGATAGATGATGAATTCAAGGTGACAGAGGTTTGGCCTTCAGGGACGGATAAGCCCTTCCTACCTGCTACATGGAGGTGTGGTGGGCAATTGTGGAGTTGCAGACTCAAGACCTCTGAAGGGCACCTGATCGCAGTCGTATTTTTTTAAGAAGGTGCTCGTTCACGGAAGTTTGAACACTGGAAAGACAGCTGTTCGCTTTCTGTGTCATAATTTTGCTACTGCCAATGCATGCGTGCGTTGGAAAGGCAGGTGTGAGTGTGTATATGTGTGTGTAGTTATTGCCATTGATGATACAGTGGGCTGAGCAGCTGCATTCACATGCTACATTTAACTGAGTGGCTGAATTTGCCCGCTTTCCTGGGATTGTACAATACGCTGCGGCATAAATTAATTGAAGGGGTGAGGTTGGTGAAACACACTCGGTTTCTCACATACATACGGAAACACACACCGACCCAAAAGCCACTCAAATTAAGCCCGTTGTGGAAATGCTGCTGCTAGGAATCAGCCTTGGTTAGACAGGTAGGGATAAAAATGTGCAAATTACGACGTTTGTTTTTAAAGAATGCTTCTCATCTACCGAAAAGAGAGAGAGAGAGAGAGAGAGAGAGAGAGAGAGAGAGAGAGAGAGAGAGGAAGGTTTGGTTCCGAATTGGGCTGGTAAGCCGCAGCGGATTTCATTTTGGGATTTATTAGCTGCTTAATTAAGAAGGCTTCTATTACTCCCCCAGCACAGCTAATTATAACAATCTAACCTGTAGATTACAAATAGGCGGGGCTGCGCCCAGGATGTAAAATCGTGCGACGGTTCTGCTAACGAATGCAAGCTTCCAACTGCCACCTTTTCGCGGGGATTTTTTTTCCTCTCTCCAACACATCTGGGGGAAGAGGGCATGGTGTGGTGCGGGGGGGGGGGGATAATAACGACGCCGAGGTTCACACCCACGAGGAGAAGCGCGAAAGGCCGTATAAACCACCACGCACTTCAGGCATGGCTTGTTCTAAACTGCACGGAAACCGAAGTCTTTTAACGCAGGCGCCTGCGTCCCTTTGCCAGCTCAAGGACACCCATTCCAAGGGGAAATTGTTCTGCAGCGAGTGTGTGTCGCTTCGGTAGGGCCTTAAATCTTTCTTTCTTTCTTCCCCCCCCCCTTTTCTTCCTCCCCTAGGAAAAATAGCATCTGTCGGACGAAAATGACTATTTTAACCCCGCTGCTTGATTCTATAAAAATGATGCCACCCGCTTGGTAGCTGCTAGAAGAATGCAATGGAATGGCGTTAGTAACAACTGAGCACCCCAACAATCACACATCTCCCCGAGGCAGAGAGACACAATGGGTGTGTTTTTGCCGTCTTTGGAGCGGGGTGTGTGTGTGTGTGGGGGGGCTGATTGACTGTGGCGATTCCCCTCTTCGGCCTAGGTCAGGGGTGTCAAACTCGATTTCATCTATTATGGCCCGCTGGTGGCCAGCAGAGCTGGAAGCAGAGTTGGACACTCAGGAGGTTTGGGAGGAACCTGGGCCACTCCTGGAGGCTGGGGAAGCTGCTGGATTTCACCCCTGGCCAGGGGTCTCCGAGGTCCTTTCTAACACTATAATTCGACTGGATTCTGGGTGCACCAGATTTGAAAGCTGCTGTTTGCTCTGAGCGGCTTTTAACTTCTCAGCGAACCTCCCATTTCCACAGCCAATCTGAAGAACCGTTTTTTTTTTTTTTTAAATCAGGAACCTTCAAAAAAAAATACTCCAGAGAAATGTAGACAGGGCACAAGTGAGATAAAACTGTACAAAGGTTACAAGCTCACGAGGCTGAGAAAGAACTTAAGAGGCGCCCAAGGACTCACTGTGACAATGCAAGGAGGGGGGGAAAAAAATCTCAATTCAACATGACTGAAAATAAGCTAGTCGTTTTGTATTTTATAATACCGTATAACTTAATTAAAAAAGGCATCTATAAAAGAAACCTCTTCTCAGTTTAACCTCAAAGTATTCAAGGAGAAAACCGAGACGGAGTCTCAGTTTCTGGGATGAGTGTTTTAAAATACGTGATACCCCCAGGTGTGAATCCCTCGGATCTCTTTGCGGCAAGACCGCAAATTCCTTCTTGGTTTGCTTTGGAAGGAACAAGCAGATCACCTCGACTCGGCCTGCCGAGATTCCGTCTGAGATCTATCCTTGTTTATTTCGGGAACGATCACAGATGGCTTTAATATCTGCCTGAATAATTGATAATGAAATGTGGATTACAGTATCTATTTATACTTTAGCACCAAGCTTTTATATCTGGGTGAGTGGGGGACGCTTAGAACAGTTTGCTGATTTATCTATTGTTATTTTATTTTATTTATTTAGTTTTGTCAAATGTGTATAAGATAACAGATGTAAGTATAAGCATGAATTGAATACATAAAATAGATACAAATAGAGGAAACATTAGGACATGGACAGAAGGCACGCTGGTGCGCTTATGCACGCCCCTTACAGACCTTTTAGGAATGGGGTGAGGTCTACAGTAGACAGTCTAAGGTTAAAGTTTTGGGGGTTTGGGGATGAAACCACAGAGTCAGGTGGTGCATTCCAGACACTGACCACTCTGTTGCTGAAGTCGTATTTTCTGCAATCGTGTTTGGAGCGGTTTACCTTGAATTTGTATCTATTGTGTGCTCGTGTATTGTTGCAGTTGAAGCTGAAGTAGTCATTGACAGGTAGGACGTTGTAGCAGATAATTTTGTGTACTACGCTTAGGTCGGACCGAAGGCGGCGTAGTTCTAAGTTGTCTTAAGCCTAAAATTTCAACCCTGGTGGCCTAAGGTATTCTGTTGCGAGCAGAGGAGTGGAGGACTCTTCTTGTGAAGTATCTCTGGACGTGCTCAATTGTATTAATGTCCGATATACAGTGCGGATTCCAGGCAGACGAGCTGTATTCGAGAATTGGTCTAGCAAAGGTTTTGTATGCCCTAGTTTGCAGTACAATACTACCAGAGAAGAAGCTTTGCAAGATTAGGTTAACAACACTTAATACCTTTTTAGCAATGCTGTTACAGTGGACTCTGGCACTTTGATCATTAGAGATGAGTACTCCAAGGTCCTTGACAGAGTGAGGGTCTTCTACGAGGTCATATCCACCCAGCTTGTATTTGTTCTGATTTTTTTTGCCAATGTGTAAGACAGAGCATTTGTTGGTTGAGATTTGGAGTTGCCAATTGTTTGACCATTCTGACACATAGTCAAGGAGCATATGCACCAAGACAAATTCCTTGTGTGTCCAATCACACTTGGCCAATAGAAAAATTCTGTTCTATTCTGTTCTGTTCTTTGTAGGGCAGTAGCCTTGTCGGAGGTGTTGAATTATCTATTGTTATTTAAAATGTAAAACTACATTTGAATCTGTTCTTCCTTTCCAAAAGCTTTTTCCACTCAAGGCTGCATTCCCAGCAGGCTCGATAAAACATTTCCTTCCCGAATTGTGGTTTCGTCAAAACAATCTGTAGCAGTTGCTTTTTTTTTTTTGGCCAAAATTCCACACCAGAGTGGCATATTCATTAGCTGGCAGCCGACTTGTAATAATGGCTGATCAGAACGTCTCTCGTCTAATCACAGCATACGTTGCCTGCAATTTCACTTTTTACATATTTTTTTTTTTTTTTAAGCAAGCTGATTTCCAAACACATCCCATCCTGAGAAGGTGAAAACGATTCATTCTCGGGACACGTTAAGGGATTCGGGAGAAAGGTTGAGACGCTATTTATTAGCTACTATTTTAACAAAGAAACCCAGAGTCAGCACAAATTGATAATCCGAGCAGGGAACCAAATGAATTTACTAATAGGTCCTAGGAGGCAATTAGTAATTATGAGTCTTCTGCACCCCAAAATGTCTTTCTCGTGTGGCCATGCAAAATCGAAAGGTAAGAGACAGAATGCAAAGTGCTTACGGTTCAGTTCTTGGAACTGGGCTACTTGAAAAAGCTTCTTAAGGGGAAAGGGAATTCTCTAAGTATCTAGCCATTTTAGATTAGATTAGATTAAACAGAGTTGGAAGGGACCTTGTAGGTCATCTAGTCCAACCCCCTGCCAAGGCAGGAGACCCTACACCATTTCTGACCGATGGCAGTCCAGTCTCTTCTTGAAAGCCTCCAGTGATGAAGCTCCTACAACTTTCAAAGGCAACTTCTGTTCCATGGGTTGATTGTTCTCACTGTCAGGAAATTTCTCCTTATTTCCAGGTTGAATCTCTCCTTGTTCAGTTTCCATCCATTATTCCTTGTCTGGCCTTCAGGGGCTTTGGAAAATAGCTTGACCCCTTCCTCTCTGTGGCAGCCCCTCAAATATATATATATATTTGCTTTAATTTATATCTGCCCTTCTCCGGAGACTCAGGGCGGCTTACAATGCACTAAGCAATAGCCTTCATACTTTTGTATATTTATACAAAGTCATCTTATTGCCCCCACAATCTGGGTCCTCATTTTACCTACCTTTGAAAGGATGGAAGGCTGAGTCAACCTTGAGCCTGGTGGGATTTGAACTTGCAGTAATTGCAAGCAGCAGATGTTAATAACAGTGCATTAGTCCACTGTGCTACCAAGGCTCTATTGGAAGATGCTATCCTGTCTCCCCTGATCCTTCTCTTCACTAGACTAGCCAGGCCCAGTTCCTGCAACCGTTCTTCGTATGTTTTCGTCTCCAGTCCCCTAATCATCCTGGTTGCTCTTCTCTGCACTCTTTCTAGAGTCTCAACATCTTTTCTATAGTGTGGTGACCAAAACTGGATGCAGGATTCTAGGTGTGGTTTTACTAAGGTTTTATAGAGTGGTATTAGTACTTCCCTTGATCTTGATTGTATCTCTCTGTTAATGCAATTTAGGATTGTGTTGGCTTTTTTGGCTGCTGCCACACACTGCTGACTCATATTTAACTGGTTGTCCACTAAGACTACAAGATCCCTCTCCCAGTCACTGCTATTAAGCCTGGTTTCACCCAGTTTATATGTGTCCTTTTGGATTTTCTTGCCTAAGTGTAAGACTTTCCTTTTCTCTATGTTGAATTTCATTTTGTTGGATAGGGCCCAGTGTTCAAGTCTTGTCAAGATATATCTGGATCTTGAGCCTATCGTCTAGGGGTGTTGGCTATTCCTGCCAGCGTAGTATCAACTGCAAATTTGGTAAATTCCCATTCTATTCCGTCATCTGAGCTGTTTAGGAAGATATTGAAGAGTACTGGGCCTAAGACGGAAGTTTACTTCCCTCCGTTTTAAGAATGTGGGGTGGATCCTAACTTTTAACTAAGAGTTGTGCCTTCGATCTGCAGTTTTTAGTAACAATGATAAAGGGACTATATCCTGAACTGTCTCCGCATGAAAGGGAGAGAATGAAAGTCCAGCAGATCTAATCTCCTGTCAATCACACCCTTGGATTACTTGTATGTAGTCAAAGCTCTAAGGCAGTGTTTCTCAACCTTGGAAGCTTGAAGATGGGTGGACTTCAACTCCCAGAAACCCCCAGCCAGCAGTGCTGGCTGGGGGATTCTGGGAGTTGAAGTCCACCCATCTTCAAGCTACCAAGGTTGAGAAACACTGCTCTAAGGTTTCCGGTTCAGGATTACATCAGTGGTGGGTTTCAATTTTTTTTTTACTACAGGTTCTGTGGGCGTGGCTTGGTGGGCGTGGCATCACTTGGTGGGCGTGGCAGGGGAAGGTTACTGCAAAATCCCCATTTCCTCCCGATCAGCTGGGACTCGGGAGACAGAGAATAGATGAGGGTGGTGCCAACCAGAGGTAGTATTTACCGGTTCTTTGAACTACTCAAAATTTCCGCTACCGGTTCGCTGGAACTGGTCAGAACCTGCTGAAACCCACCTCTGGATTACATGCTTCTGTCACTTGTTTTTGCAATTTTGATTTGCACGGGAAGCTTACCTGGGGTCTCATTCGGGGGTTCCAACGTACGTAGTAGTTGACCCACAATTCCAAATGACTTAAGCTGCCTACTGGATAGAGGACGTGGTTCTTGTAGTTGACGTAGAAAGGGTTGCTGAATTCGTCCACCTGGCTATTGATGTAGGACCACAAAGAGACGGTTTTGGCGTTTATCTCCTGAGGAAAACGGACAAGGTTATGAAAAGGGTATGCTTGCGAGAAAAAAAACGATGCTGCGTTATAACCCTTCAGATGGTTTGGTGAGCTCCTGGAAGAGAAGCAGGTACCAGATAGGTTGTCGGGCCTAGCCCGAGAACGTCGTAAAACAATCCAATCAGTTTAGTTCATTATTTGCAAATGCTCTATAGACAGAATCTTGCCAGACTAAACTTATAATATTCGTAACAGAAATACCAAAGAGAGATTCTAGGGCAGTGATGGCTAACCTTTTTGCCATCGCGTGCCAAAGTGGGGGGAATGTGGGGTGGTCGAGCGCACATGTGCTCATACCCATAATTCAATGCCCACCCCCGTGCCCACCCCTCCGCGCATGCGCTCCCCGCCATGCTTCCCCCGCTTTTGGCATGCGACGGCAAAAAGGTTACTGGTGGGCCCGGAAAGCCTGTTTTTCGCCCTCAGGCTACAGAGGCTTTCTTGGAGCCTGGGGAGGGCAAAAACAGCCTTCCCCACCACCCCTGGAGGCCCTCAGGAGGCCGGAAATGGCCCGTTTTCCAACTTCCGGTGGGCCTGGACGGCCCAAAAATCAGCTGGTTGGCGTGCCCATGCGTGCTGGAGCTGAGCTAGAACAACGCTCATGTGCCCACAGATATGGCTCCACGTGCCACCTCCGTGCCATAGGTTCGCCATCCCGATTCTAGGGAGTGGCTGTCCTAAATCTTACCTTCCTAAATCTCCCCTAATTTCCTCTTCCCGTGATCCAGCTTGTAGGAGAAGAACAGGCAGAGGGCAGAGGTAAGTGCATCATTAGTTCAGAATCCTGGCGTTGCCACAAGAGACTCAAGAGTCCAGCCCCCCCTTCCTCTTGAATTCTGTTGGCCCGTATCCAACGTCAATTTACTACTGATCATGAGTTGGCCAGATTCTTGTGTAGAGCTAGTCCTTGACTTACAACTCTTTGATTAATGACTGTTTGAAGTCATGACAGCACTGAAAACGGGGATTTATGACCATTTCTCACACTTATGACCGTAAGCACTTTTTGGGAAAAGTGTATTTTCTAGAACTAGCTAACACCACCACTTTTTTTTTCGGAATAGTACCATAAAATTAAATATCAATGGAAAGGTAATTTAATCAAGAATGTAATGCAATAACTTTTATGAAGGATTTGCTATTAGAATAGCAGTGACAGTATAAAGAAGAAAAGTGAAACACATAGAAAAAACAAGATATACAAAAATGATCACCATAGAAAAAACGAGATATATGAAAATTATCACCATGGTCAAAGGGGTGAAATCCAAATTTTTTCCTTACTGGTTCTGTTGGCATGGCTTGGTAGGCGTGGCAGGGGAAGGATATTGCAAAATCTCCATTCCCACCCTACTCTGGGACCAGACAGAAATGGTATTTGCTGGTTCTCCGAACTACTCAAAATTTCCGCTACCAGTTCTCTAGAACCTGTTAGAACCTGCTGGAGTTCACCTCTGACATGTCAGTTAATACTTAGTTGGGTAACCTTTAGCATGAATGACGGCCTTACAATGTCTTCCCATAGAGTGAACAAAGTCTTTGAGTTCTGCAGCTGTTATCATGTGAAACCAAGATTGAATGATGGCTACGATTAACTGGTTTTTATTGCTGGGTCGCTTCTGACTAACCAGTTTCTTTAGTCGGCTCCATAGATTTTCAATTGGGTGAAGGTCTGGGCTATTCCCAGGCCATTCCAGCAGTGGAATAGGATTATCTTGAAACTCCATAATAAAGTGGTGTTATTAGCCATCAAACCTCAAAAATACCCTTTTCCCAAAAGGTTTCCACAATTTTGGCCACTACTGTAAATAACGAGCTTGGGGTAGCCATGATACACTTGTCACGATGAGTGATGCCCATTTGAGGGCAGGGAGGAGGGAAATAAGATAAAGATCGAAACAATGAAATTGTCTTGAATGTCAGCGAATTCTACAGCATAGAATCAATGAAGTGGTACTGTAGGGAAAAATACAAAACAAAACCCGAACAGGTATAATCCTTATCCCTACCTAAAATATTGTGGGTTGTAATTAAACGGCTACGCTTAACGGGGGTCATTAAAATTCTACGTCGAGCCCCATCTTCCCTCTACGGCCATTATTAAATCAAGGTTTCAGAATTGGAATCCGTTATCGGATTCCTCCCGCAATTTTCTATTCCTCCGGTGCTATAAAGCATCTGTTTCCACTACAGTCGTCTCTTAAATGGCATTTTCTTTTTCTTTTTTTTCCCTTTCTTCTTTCCTCTTGTTTTTTTTTTCTCCCCTGAAAGAGGGAGCTGCATTAGATTATCCATTCATGAGAGGCTGATAGGCAGGCTGTTCTGGGGAGGAGGTGTAAGTCAGCTCCATCTTGTGGTGCAGCTACGCAATTTGGCCGTGGTTCCTTCGAACACGACAACGGAGGTGTTTTAAAGGACACCGCCTCCTCTCCAAAATTTGAGGGAAATCCTACCTAGCCGGAGCTTTCGGATGGCTTTGATCCCACACGAAGTCAAGGGGGACTCAGAATGTAAAAGTAAACCTTAAATTTTTTACTCAGTTTGCAATTCCGAGTCCTGAAAACTGAGGATTCTTACAGTCGGCGCCGTAAGGAACATTTACGACCCAAAATGTCGTTAGATGTCTAAACCGCCAGGAGAAACATCAAACTCCAAACACTTCAGTGTCGGATTATGCCCTTAAGCTGGTCATTTCAGATAGAAATGTTAATTGCTCTTAAGGGCGGGAATTGCGTTCACATCAAAGACACATCAGGGCTGGGTTTTGTGGCATTCGGCACCGCTTCGCGCTTCAAGTGAGAGATTGCACATTGAAATCTTTTCAAGTTCTACAGGAGGAGTGTTCCAGGGGTGGGTTCTAATTTTTTTTTTACTACCGGTTCTGTGGGCGTGGCTTATTTTGTGGGCGTGGCTTGATGGTCATGTGACAATTCTTTAGGATTTAGCAGAGGTACTGGTCTACCAGGCTTTTAACTGGGTTGCAGAGCTGTACCGGTCTACCCATTTGTTCTTGGAGGCACCGGTCTACCCATTTGTTTTTGGAGGCACCGGTCTACTCAATTGTTTTTTTGGAGGCACCGGTCTACCCATTTGTTTTTGGAGGCACCGGTCTACCCATTTGTTTTTGGAGGCACCGGTCTACTCATTTGTTTTTGGAGGCACCGGTCTACTATTTGTTTTTGGAGGCACCGGTCTACTCATTTGTTTTTGGAGGCACCAGTCTACCCATTAGTTTTTGGAGGCACCGGTCTACCCATTAGTTTTTGGAGGCACCGGTCTACTCATTTGTTTTTGGAGGCACTGGTCTACCACATTGCCTTTTAACACTGATCAGCTGTAGGGCGGCCCTTTGAAGCCCTGTGGCAAGAGTTTAAACAGTTTTCTTCCTTCTAGTCAATCAGCTGGGACTCGGGAGGCAGTGAATAGTTTGGGTGCGGGGCCAAATAAAAGGTAAGAATAACGGTTGGGGAGGCGGGCGGAAGGGCCCAGCTCCTGGACAAAGAGAACCGGTTCTGTGACATCATATTGTCACCGCTACCGGCTCGGCCGAACCGGGAGGAACCCACCACTGGAGTGTTCACATCCAGCCTTTTGAAGACCTGTGGACTTCAACTCCCAGAATTCCCCAGCCAGCATGGTCTCCAAGTGGCCAAGCTCGGATATCCCTGCTCTACAGCAAAAGGGGAAAAAAAAATAATTACCCCGAATATCTTTCTCGCCCTTTTATCAAATCATCATCATTTACACTGGCTATTTACCTCTTTTACTCGCCGATGTTCTGAGTTGTACAAAAAGGTGCCGAACAGACAGCTGTAAAGGTGATCCAAAATGTTGATCAAAAACAGCTCGTTGAATTCGAAGGCGGCTGGGAACTAAAGGGGGGAAGAGACATTATTTATTTTTTTCCCCATTAGTAAAAAGGCAACCCACTTTTTCATTTAAAGCAAAGGGATTTTTTGTGGACTGATAACGACACCTGCTCAACTAGGCTTAGCGTGGTTCAGTGACAATAACAAGAGTTACTTGGAAGGGACCTGGGAGGTCATCTAGTCCAACCCCTTGCTTATGGTGGAGACCTATGCTATTTCTGAAGATAATGGCTGTCCAGTCTCTTCTTAAAAGCCTCCATCACTACGTAAAAAACCATGGCTACCAACCTGCCTTCCATGGAGGACCTGTATACTGCACGAGTCAAAAAGAGGGCTGTGAAAATATCTACAGACCCCCTCGCATCCTGGACATAAATTGTTTCAACTCCTACCCTCAAAACGAGGCTATAGAGCACTGCACACCAGAACAACTAGACACAAGGACAGTTTTTTCCTGAATGCCATCACTCTGCTAAACAAATAATTCCCTCAACACTGTCAAACTATTTACTAAGCCTGCATTACTATTAATCTTCTCATTGTTCCCATCACCCATCTCCTCCCACTTATGACTGTATGACTATAACCTTGTTGCTGGTATCCTTAAGATTTATATTGACTGTTTCCCTATGACTATCATTAAGTGTTGTACCTTATGATTCTTGATGAATGCATCTTTTATGTACACCGAGAGCGTATGCACCAAGACAAATTCCTTATGTGCCCAAACACACTTCGCCAATAAAGAATTCTATTCTATTCTATTCTATTCTATTCTATTCTATTCTATTCTATTCTATTCTATTCTATTCTATTCTATTCCCATTCTATTCTATATTGATTGTTTCCTAGTATGATTCGATTGCTTATTTGTACCCTATGACTATCATTAAGTGTTGTACCTTATGATTCTTGACGAATATATTTTATTTTTTCTTTATGTACACCGAGAGCGTATGCACCAAGACAAGTTCCTTGTGTGTCCAATCACACTTGGCCAATAAAGAATTCAATTCAATTCAATTCAATTCAATTCAATTCAATTCTATTCTCTCAATGATGCAGGAAGGATGCACAGTGATGCAGCTGCCAGATCCCAGCCCTTGCAGATGTCCACGTTGGCCAATTAATCTAAGCAAGCTATGAAGGTTTACGACAATTCAAAGACGAGAATTCCACTGCTCGCTGTTTTGTGTATACGCTTGGCCTAGATATTCCTGGAAAAGGTTTTTATCTTTCTACCGATGACAGAAGAACTGTTTTGATTTTAAGTTGCTAAGCAAGCCAGGCAAATGATGTATCATCCATCTTAATTTAGAAAAGACTGAGGATCAGAAACAAATAAAAGTGATTTTTTTTTCCCTCCTAGCCCAAACACCCAGCGGAAAAATAACAGGGCTCCAAAATCTTCATAAAGGCCAAGAGGTTAGGGACCGACCCTCTCTCAGGATCCAGTTAATGCTGGAGATGAGGTGGAGATGGGAAGGCAACCACAAGACATGCCCTTTTTCAAAGAAAGCCTCCTTTGTAACTCGGATATCTGAGCTCCTTACTGTAAAAACATAACTAAGAACACTTGACTAGTAATTCCAAGAATCGCTTCTGTTTAGGAATGAGCTTGAATTTAAGGACAGAGGTCAGAACTGTTGCACGAAGCTACCAGGAGCTGAAGTACTATCGCTTCTACAAACGATGTCCTCAAAAACCTTAAGAAAAGAAGCTTTGTTATTGATTTGTTCTGAATCGGCGAACTTCAAGGGTTTGCACACATTCATTAGATATTCTTTTGATATGTAAACTAACCACGGCACCACAGAGCTAGGAAATTTTCTACCGAGAGAAAAATGAGTTTATAAATTCAGGGACAAGTTTATCGGTCTCGTGTGAGCTCGTCATAAGCGGAAAAGAAAACAAAATCACTCTAGATTTTCTTCTCGAAAACCAGTTTAACTCGAGCCCTTTCTGTGTTAGCTTCCCAGAGTCTTTCGGAGCAGAAACATGTTAAATAAGTCAGAAAAATAAATGAATCAATATTTTGAAGTTCTCACCTGCTTCGTCATTTGCCAGACACAATCTATGAACTGTAGGAAGAGAGGGGATCTGTCAGCATCTGCGTGATCGTCATCTCCGTGACCGACTCGCTGTAGGAGAGGGAAAGAAAAATAAAAAGGAACTTAGGAAGCTGGGGAATCCTGGGAGTTGAAGTCCACCCATCTGAATGCTGCCAAGGCTGAGAAACAACGCACGTTAAGTCGCTGTGATTAGGAGCCTAGCTTGCAAATGATGGACAGAGTCAACATCCATGACTTTAGAACAATTCATTTTCCCAAGGGATCACGTGAGAAACTGGGATTGTTGTGGACGGCCGACCTTATAGGGCTGTGAAGGTGCATAGGCATCAGGGGTGAAATCCAGCAGGTTCTGACAGGTTCTGGAGAACCGGGTAATGGAAATTTTGAGTAGTTCGGGGAACCGGCAAATACCACCTCTGGCTGGCCCCAGAGTGGGGTTGGGAATGGAGATTTTGCAGTATCCTTCCCCTGGAGTGGGGTGGGAATGGAGATTTTGCAGTATCCTTCCCTTGGAGTGGGGAGGGAATGGAGATTTTGCAATATCCTTCCCCAAGGAGTGGGGAGGGAATGGGGATTTTGCAGTATCCTTCCCCTGGAGTGGGGTGGGAATGGAGATTTTGCAATATCCTTCCCCAAGGAGTGGGGAGGGAATGGGGATTTTGCAGTATCCTTCCCCTGCCACGCCCACCAAGCTACACCGTGCCCATCAAGTCACGCCCACAGAACCTGTAGTAAAAAAATTTGGATTTCATCACTGCCCAAAGGTGCTTTTTTTCCAAGAGGCAACTGGACTTTCTGGTTTTTCTTTGAAGATGTTTCACTTCTCGTCTGAGAAGCTTCTTCTGCTCACTCAGAGCTGAAGCTTCTTCAGAGCTGAAGACGCTTCTTGGATGAGAAGCGAAACGTCTTCAAGAAACAGACAAACCGGGAAGTCCAGCTGCCTCTTGAAATAAAAAAAGAACCTTTGGGACAACCCAAGAGGAAGTTTGCTAAACCGAAAACTAGGATGGAGATCAGCCTCCTTTGCTGAACCGTTTTCCCTGAAGCTTTGGAGTGAACTGAAAAGTGCCCTTTTCAGTTTCCAGACTAAATCCTTGCAAGATTTCCTTTCCGTCTTGCGTGATGCTCACCAAGGCGAAGCGATGTCCGAAACTCATCCATTCCTTCTCCAAGAGGACCTCGAAGCCTTTGATAGTCCGGTAGTAGCTGTCCAGCATGAGCATCGCCAAGGAAGTCAACTGAGACGTACGGTCCCAACCGTCGCTGCAATGAACCACCACCGAGGTTTTCCCTGACTCAATTTTGTCAGCAATTCTCACAGCTCCGGCCAGAAGCATCTTTTAGAAAAAAAAAAGAAGAAGAAGAAAAATCCAAGTTGAGATAGATTGAGATGGGAGCGGAGAGAAAGAAACCAACTTACAAATAAAGCCCTTGCTGAAATTCACTACATTAAATGGGATGCATATTAACCAATTGGAAGCAATCAGGCACAAAACAGCAAGAAAAAATAACAGATTGGAAGGGACCTTGGAGGTCTTCTAGTCCAACCCCCTGCTTAAAGCAGGAAACCCTACACCACTTCAGACAAATGGTTGTCCAAAATCTTCTTAAAAACTTCCAGTGTTGGAGCATTCACAACTTCTGGAGGCAAGTTGTTCCACTGATTAATTGTTCTCACTGTCAGGACAATTCTCCTTAATTTTATTGTTTCTAGGTGATGAGTTTCCACCCATTGCTTCTTGTCCTGCCTTCAGGTGCTTTGGAGAATAGCTTGACTCCCTTTTCAGAATGGCTGCATGGGGAATTCTGGGAGTTGAAGTCCACAGATATCAGTGGCCAAGGTTATAATCTGGAATGTTCAACCCTCTAAAACAGGAGTGTCCAACCTTGGGAACTTTAAGACTTGTGGACTTCAACTCTGGGAGTTGAAGTCCACAAGTCTTAAAATTCCCAAGGTGGGACCCCTCTGCTCTAAAATAATTTTGTTGTTGTTGTTAGTTGCCAAGATGTGTCCGACCCATTGCGACCCCATGGACAATTTTCCTTCAAGCCTTCCTGTCCTCTACCATCCCTCGGAGTCCATTTAACCTCATGCCGACTGCTTCAGTGACTCCATCCATCCACCTCGTTCTCTGCCGTCCCCTTCTTTTTTTGCCCTCAATCGTTCCCAGCATTAGGCTCTTCTCCAGGGAGTCCTTCCTTCCTTCACATTAGGTGGCCAAAGGATTTGAGTTTCCTCTTCAGGATCTGGTCTCCTAAAGAGCAGTCAGGGTTGATCTCCTTTAGGACTGACCGGTTGGATCTCCTTGCAGTCCAGGGACTCACAGGAGTCTTCTCCAGCACCATCGTTCAAAGGCCTCCATTCTTTGGCGCTCAGCCTTCCTTATGGTCCAACTAAAATAATTACTTCGATATAAAATCTTTCCAATGGGAGAGAGAAGACAGCCTAGAGAGAAGCATAATATAAGCACAACATGACCCACATTTCGTCGATTACCCGTATATATTCCAGCCAGTGCGTACTCTCCACGTTGGAAAGCCACCGGGATTCATCGATGGTGGGGTAAACGATTTCTTTCAGTTTACGCAGCGATTCCCTCATCACGTGTATATTCGGGATTTCCAGGAAGATCAATTCCACGTTGGGATAGGCACTTTCGCTTTCGTACCCGCCGCCTTTAGTCTGAAATTACAATGGGTTTCCGTCAACCCTATGCATTATGTGGAGAAGCGGGTTTGGTCTAGTGGTTCAGGCACCAGCCTAGAGACCAGGAGGTGGTGAGTTCTAATCTCACGTCAGGCATGAAAACGGGTGAGTGACTTTGGGCCAATCACCAGGAGATGGAGAGTTCTAGTCCCGCCTTAGGCATGAAAACCTGGTTGGGTAACTGTGGGCCAATCACCAGGAGATGGAGAGTTCTAGTCCCGCCTTAGGCATGAAAGCCAACTGGGTAACTTTGGCCCAAACACCAGGAGATTGGGAGTTCTAGTCCACTTTAGGCATGAAAGCCAGCTGAGTAACTTTGGCCCAATCACCAGGAGATTGGGAGTTCTAGTCCTGTTTTAGGCATGAAAGCCAGCTGGCCCAATCACCAGAAGATTGGGAGTTCTAGTCCTGTTTTAGGCACGAAAGCCAGCTGGGTAACTTTGGCCCAATCACCAGGAGATTGGGAGTTCTAGTCCCCCCTTCTGCATGAAAGTCAGCTGGATGACTCAAGCCAGTCCTGTCTCTTTCTCTCAGCCCAACCCACCTCGCAGGGCAAATAATGTGGGGCAAATAGGAGGAGGCGGAAGGAATATTAAATATGTTGACTGCCTCAAGTTACTTATAAAAATAATAAAGGTGGGATAAAAATAAATAATAATAATAATGAGCGGTTGACAAGTTGACATTTCAATTGAAACCAAATTGCTTTTTTTTCCCGGCTTTGCCGAAGCTCCTTTAATCCTCCCCCTCCTCCTCTTGGGTGTCTCCCCTACCTTGTTGGTGTCAGCGACGCTGTTCTGCCTCGCGTCGAAGATGAAAAGCTTGTGAGACTGAGCGTTGGCGTCCATGATGGTCTGTAGGTACTTCTCGTCTTCTTTGCACTGTTTGTCGTTCGGCCCGATGAGAGGCTGGCTGCATCGGGTGAGCGTGGCCTGGCTCTCGGGGTGAATCCAGGATAACACCTAGATTAAGAGAGGGAGGTGGAGATGGAGAAGGGGAGCAGAGAGATAGAAACTAACTTACAAATAAAGCCCTTGCTGAAATTCACTACATTAAATGGGATGCATAAAGAAGATGCTATTGGAAGCAATCAGGTACAAAAGAGCAAGAACAGAATAACAGAGTTGGGAGGGACCTCAGAGGTCTTCTAGTCCAAACCCCCTGCTCAGGCAGGAAACCCTATACCAATTCAGACAAATGGTTATCCAACATCTTCTTAAAAACTTCTAGTGTTGGAGCATTCACAACTTCTAGAGGTAAGTTGTTCCACTGATTAATTGCTCTCACTGTCAGGAAACTCCTCCCGAGTTCTAAGTTGCTTCTCTCCTTGATTAGTTTCCATCTGTTGTTTCTTGTCCTACCCTCAGGTGCTTTGGAGAATAGCTTGACTCCCTCTTCTTTGGGGCAGCCCCTGAGATATTGGAAGACTGCCATCATGACGCCCCTGGTCCTTCATTTCATTAAACTAGGCCAGGGGTCTGCAACCTTAAATACTCAGGAAAGAGGCATTTGGACCCGTTTCCCACAGAAAAGAAAACACCGGGAGCCACAAAACCTGGGTGGGCGTGGCCAACTCAATGTCACTCATTTCCACCAGTCACATGACGCCCCCTAGCCGCGCCTACCCGGCCGGTCATTAGTACAGAGAACCAGTTGTTAAAAAACACCGGGAACCAAGAAGCTGGCAGTGTGGAAGCTTCCAGAGTTAATACGGCTTCCAAAGCTAACACAGAGTGGTTAGAATGCAATATTGCAGGCTAATTCTGCCCACGGCCAGGAGTTCGATCCTGACCGGCTTAAGGTTGACTCAGCCTTCCGTCCTTCCGAGGTCAGTAAAATGAGGACCCAGATTGTTGGGGGCAAGAGACTGACTCTGTAAACTGCTTAGAGAGGGCTGTAAAAGCACTATAAAGTGGTATATAAGTCTAAGTGCTATTGCTATCTTCCTTCCTTCCTTCCTTCCTTCCTTCCTTCCTTCCTTCCCATGTTAGAATGCAGTATTGCACATAACTCTGCCCACTGCCAAGAGTTCGATTCTGACCGGCTCAAGGTTGACTTAGCCTTCCATCCTTCTGAGGTTGGTAAAACGAGGACCCAGACTATTGGGGGCAAGAGGCTGACTCTGTAAACCGCTTAGAGAGGGCTGTAAAAGCACTATAAAGTGGTATATAAGTCTAAGTGCTATTGCTATTTTCCTTCCTTCCTTCCTTCCTTCCCATGTTAGAATGCAGTATTGCACATAACTCTGCCCACTGCCAAGAGTTCGATTCTGACCGGCTCAAGGTTGACTCAGCCTTCCATCCTTCTGAGGTTGGTAAAACGAGGACCCAGACTATTGGGGGCAATAGGTTGATTCTGTAAACCGCTTAGTGAAGGCTATAAAGCTCTGTGAAGTGGTATATAAGTCTGCTAAATGCTATTCTTTCTCCACTTTTAAAACCCAGCACATCCTCTTTCAATCCAGCTTTCCTTCCTATAGGATTCAGCCTATATCCTTGAGGAAAGATCTGGTTTATAATGAGGCAATTCGTGAAAACACGTCAGTTACGGTACAAGGGTGCGATGAAGTTTGACATCAACATTCCAATTTTGGATCTCAATCTTTACTTACTGGAACTCTTCCTTTTGCTCTAAACGCAGCCACCCGGGAGAGATCTTCGTCTTTGACGCTGGTTGGCACAACAAGAACGGCAGGATATGTGTCACAAAACTCATACATGCTGTTAATTTTGGATATTTTCCAGCTCTCGTTGGGTAAACCCTTGAAAACAAAACATTTTTATATACATCAAACTTGGATAATGACAGACCCACTGTAGGAAGCAAGGAAGCAATATTAACCTAATTGTGATAAATAATTTGGTAGAGATTTTTCCCCCCCTGGATTAAAATTACACAAATGCAATAATGTTTGGGAACACAGCATGCAGGCGGCTTAAAGTTTAAAATTCCTGGTGCGTATATTGAACAAGTAAGACACCTGTTATTTTCCCTATTCTTAACGTATCATGTTAATGTATTATATCCATTTAGCTCTACTGTATACTGTAAACAATGTTGAGTAATTTGGCAGAGAATTGGTATTCAAATATATACATTTATTAGGATTATTTTCCTATAGGCAGAGAGTCAATATTTTTTGCGCCTGTATGTATCATCCATATGTACTTTGTATTCAAACTAGAATATGTGTATGCGCCTTTTGTATTAAAAAGTTACACAAGATCGGAAACACGAACTTGAAAGGAGGGCAGGTTTTGAGATTGTACCAAAGGTTAAATATCTAGGAGTTCAGGTTGCAGAATCAAATATGAAATTGTTTCAAAATAATTATGAGGTGTTGTGGCGAGATGTACAGAAAGATATGGAGTCTTGGAAAAAACTGGGTGGAAACTCATCAAGGAGAGAAGCAACCTAGAACTAAGAAGAAATTTCCTGACAGTGAGAACAATTAATCCGTGGAACAACTTGCCTCCAGAAGTTGTGAATTCTCCAACACTGGAAGTTTTTAAGAAGAGATTGGATAACCCTTTGTCTGAAGTGGTGTAGGGTTTCCTGCCTAAGCAGGGGGTTGGACTAGAAGACCTCCAAGGTCCCTTCCAACTCTGTTATTCTGTTCTGTTCTGTTCTGTTCTGTTCTGTTCTGTTCTGTTCTGTTCTATTCTATTCTATTCTATTCTATTCTATTCTATTCTATTCTATTCTATTCTATTCTATTATTCTGGTGTGCATGTGTACATACGTAGAATGCTCGATATTGGATGGTATTCCAACCCATGAAAATCAACCAGGCTCACCTGTCTTTTATACTCTGCCACCGGATCATAAACCTTCCAACCGTTAGTAGGAAATTTCTCTTTGTAAGTGAACGCAAAGAATGGCTGAATGCAATGAAAGAAAAGCCAAAGTTAGGGTCACTGAACTTCATTTCTTGATCTCCACACAAAGATTTAGTTGCGAGAAGAAAGAATGAACCTACGTGTCAGCAAACGTAACTGCCCACTACTCATTTTTAATATTATAGGTAGTTCTCGACTTACAACAGTTCATTTAGTGACTATTCAAAATTAACACTGAAAAAATGACCGTTTTCCAGACTTATGACCTTTGTAGCAGCCCCATGATATAAACTGAGATGCTTGCAACTGGCTCAAACTTATGACAGTTGCCGTATCCCGGGGTCAAATGACTTCCTTTTGCGACCTTCTAACGAACAAAGTCAACGGGGAAGTCAGATTCACTTAACAACCGGGTTACTGCCGTGATTCGACTGTGGCAAGAAAGGTCGTAAAATGGGGCAAAACTCGCTTAACAACGGTCTTGCTTAGCGACAGAAATTTGGGGTTCAATTGTGGTCGTTAAGCCGAGGTCATAACTGACATAACACCGTCCCATTCAAGAGAGAAACCTTATTCTCTCTATATTCTCTCCATAGCTGTTATGTACAAAATTACCGTATTTTTGGACTTTAAGATGCACCCAAATTTAGAAGAGGAAAACAAAAGAAAAAAATTTTTTGGGTCTTCCTTTTTTCGGGCCAATTTTCCACCCATTTCTAGACTTTTTCCGGCCCGTTTTTGAGGCTTTTTCCGGCCTGTTTTTGAGGCTTTTTCCGGCCTGTTTTGGGGGCTTTTCTTGGCCCATTTTTGAGGCTTTTTCTGGCCCACTTCTGAGGCTTTTCCAAGCCCGTTTTTGAGGCTTTTTCCGGCTGTTTTGGGGGCTTTTTCCGCCCCATTTTTTAGGCTTTTTCTGGACCGTTTTCAAGGCTTTTTTTAGCCTTTTTCATGGCTTTTTTCAGCCTGTTTTTGAGGCTTTTTCTGGACCATTTTCAAAGCTTTTTTTGGCCTTTTTCATGGCTTTTTTTGGCCTGTTTTTGAGGCTTTTTTCGGCCCATTTTTGGCTGAAAAAAGCCTCAAAAACAGGTCAAAAAAAGCCATGAAAAAGGCCAAAAAAGGCCCGAAAACGGGGCGTGCGGAGGCCAAAAAAACAGCAATATTCAGTCTATAAGACGTACAGACATTTTCAACCTCTTTTGGGAGACAAAAAAGTGCATCTTATAGTCTGAAAAATACGGTAATCTTGTTGTCCTTGCATCCATGATAATATTTACGTTTTGTGATGGTGAAAGAAAAAAAAAATCAACATATTTACATTCCTTTATTTTTCCTTGTGTGTTTTGCTAAGGGATAAGAACTTTGCGTTTAGGCTTACCAGCCCGTGAGAAAGCGGAAATGCTCGGGTAATCAGGTTCTGAAAAATCTCCAGTCTCTGTTCTTCCTGTTTATAAGCAAACCGCAAGTTTCTCATATCCTGTTGAAAGATATCTTTAGGTTTGACTGGTTATATATATATATATATATATAAATTACAGCACTTTATAGAAATTTAAGCATTTGGCATTGGCGACTCTTGCTAGAGAAAATCATGTTTAATTTACAGTAAATTATGGAAACCCTTTGGGAAAAGTGTCTTTTCTAAAACTAGCTCATAACACCACTTTTTTGGGGAGTAGTACCATAAAATTAGATATCAATGGAACGATAATTTAATCAAGAATGAAATGCAATAATTTTTATGAAGGATTTGCTATTAGAATTGCAGTTAAAGTATAAAAAAGAAAAATGAAACACGTAGAAAAAACAAGATATACAAAAATTATCACCATAGAAAAAATGAGACATACAAAAATGATCCCCATGTCAGTTAATGCTTAGTTGGGTAACCTTTAGAATGAATTACGGCCTTACAACGTCTTCCCATGGAGTGAACCAAGTCTTTCAGTTCTGCAGCTGTTCTAATGTGAAACTAAGATTGAATGATGGCTACTATTAACTGGGTTTTATTGCTGGGTCGCTTCTGACTAACTAGTTTCTTTAGTCGGCTCCCTAGATTTTCAATTGGGTGACGGTCTGGGCTATTCCCAGGCCATTCCAGCAGTGGAATAGGATTATCTTGAAACCCCCCCCCCCAAAAAAAGTGGTGTTATTAGCCATCAAACCTCAAAAATACACTTTTTCCCAAAAAGGCTTCCACAGTTTTGGCCACAACTGTATGCTTTGGGCACAGTAAAATTCCACCTTAAACTTTTGATTTCTAGGACAATAGTTGTGAGAAGCTTGGGAAAGTTGCTTCTCAAATGGATCACAACAAACAAATGATTGATAATTGATCGGACCATCCCAAAACAAGGAACAAACAGCATCTCCCCGACCAAACAGAACCTGCCTGGCCTTCTCTTCTAAGATGGAAAAAAGCAGCATATGAAGTTTCAATTTGGATTACTCAACAGAAGAGAGTGATTTGCAGCTCAGGACTGAACTGTGGGGGTTCTTTTTTGCTCTCTGAGCTTGGATGAACTTGGATTCTGGCAAACAGAACTCCTGTTTGTTGTACGGCTTCGCAGGATTCCTTCGTAATGGCCTTTTACCTTTTCTACAATGAAATGTCTTAGCAGAAGTTCATGGAACTTTGAGTGTTTGGCCAACTGGTTCTACTTTGGGGGAGAAGCCTGACGCGATAGCATTACTGTTGTACAGAAATCAAAAAGCAGCATTTTTGTCCCCAAGGTGCTTTTTTTCAGGAGGCAACTGCAGTTCCTTGTTTTTTTTTCCTGTTGAAGATGTTTCGCTTCTCATCCGAGAAGCTTCTTCAGCTCTGACTTCTTGGATGAGAAACGAAACGTCTTCAAAAGAAGAAAAACAAAAAAGCCCAGTTGCCTCCTGAAAAAAAGCACCTTGACCTGGATGACGGAGAATCTCTACAGACTTTTAGCTACACAATTTGGGATGGAATGGATTTCTAGAGGAAAAAAAACTGCAGACTACAGGAACCAGGAGCACCACTCAGGTGACCCACAGATAAACCTCCAAGTGCTTCAATGACCCTCTAAAAGGATGCAAAAGACCAGCTGTCTGCATGGAATATAAATCCTTCCATTCCCCACCATCTAGTCAGAGCTGAAGAAGCCTCTTGGATGAGAAGTGAAACGTCTTCAAAAGAAAAATCAAGGAAGTCCAGTTGCCTCCTGAAAAAGCACCTTTGGGACAACCATCACCTGGATGACGGAGAATCTCTACAGACATCCAATCCGTACCTTGCAAACAATCTCTATACCGCAAGAATTGTCTCCGTGGCTCTGCACGCCAATCTTTTCCACTCTACTTATTACTCCGAGGGGAACGTCAAGGACAAAATGTGGATCCTGAAATTCGAATGAAAAAAAAATAACATTTTTTAAAAATACACCCATGAGTAAATATTTATCACCTGGGACAAGAAAAGGCATGATGTGCAATACAGAACAAAGACTCACCCTCTCCACATTCTTGAAATACATTTTGTAATCGGTCACTGTCAACGTGCCACTGATGGCTCCGATGAATGGGCAGATATAGACCACATCTTTAGCTGAGAAAAAAGGTGACATTTTATTAGTGCTTACATCCCTTTATTGAAAAATCTTTCATGCAAGATATGATCTCTGCTTTCAAATCCCAATTTGAATACAGCGTTACGGGTGGAATAAAAGCCCTTTTGCACAAAAAGGTATAATAAAGGATTTAAAAAAAAAAAAAATCTTTCACGGCCCTTCGTTTTACAGTTTCGTATTTTTACAATAGAAGAGTAAAATAAAGAAAGACCAAGCTATGTCAATTTTAGGAAAGGCTAAAGGCACAGGGATCCCCATTTTAAAAAATTAAATGTTTAAGCACAGATGATGTCTTAAATTTTAATTTTATACTATCTATCTATCTATCTATCTATCTATCTATCTATCTATCTATCTATCTCTATCATCTATCTACCTATCATCCATTCTTATCTATCTATCTATCTATCTATCTATCTATCTATCTATCTATCTATTCTATCTATCTATCATCTCTGTCTATCCATCCATCCATCCATCATCTATCTATCTGTCTGTCTATCTACCTATCATCCTATCATCAACCATCTAGCCATCTCTCTATGTCTGTCTGTCTGTCTGTGTCTGTCTGTCTATCTATCTATCTATCAATCATCTATCTATCTATCATCTATCTACCTATCATCCATCTATCTATCCATCTATCATCTATCTATATCGATCTGTCTGTCTGTCTATCATCCATCTATCTACCTATCATCTATCTATCTGTCTGTCTGTCTGTCTGTCTGTCTGTCTGTCTGTCTGTCTATCTATCTATCTATCTATCTATCTATCTATCTATCTATCTATCGTCCTCCCTCCATCTATCCATCCATCCATCCACACACACATATACACACATACACGTACATACACTCCCCTTCTCAGTCATTATATAATTCATCCAAAATGGACAAAGTGATATTACTGTATAGTAGTATGTAGTACTATATATATACTACATATCACACAGTAATATCACTTCCTGATGTATTATAGCAAGGATTGTGCTGTTCTACTGACATTATTGAGCAATTAATCTCCAGGGAAGGAAATCTTTAATACCTCTGGACTTCAACTCTCAGAATTCCCCAGCCAGCCATTTTGGGGAAATAGCAAAAAAGCATTACAACCAGTTCACTGTTATCCCAAAAGTGCTTTTCTAAAAGACAACTGGACTTTCTTAGGTTTTTCTTTCGAAAACGTTTCGCTTCTCATCCGAGAGGCTTCTTCAGTTGAGCTTCTTACATGAGAAGCAAAATGTTTTTGAGGGGAAAAAAAAAAAACCCAAATCCAAGAAACTCCAGTTGTCTTTTCGAAAAGCACCTCTAGGACAGCCATGACCTGGATGACTGAGAATCCCCACAGCTTTCCTTCTCTTTAATTTTTCAATGGACTTTTGAGAGAGGAAAAGAGACGTGGGTACCCACACGCTGTTCAGATCGCCAACATTTCATTTCCAAGTATTGGAACACTAAAAAAAAACAAAACCCTACAACAAAGCAACGGGATGAAACTGCTGAGCAGTTAAGTATCTGTGGGATTATAACTCAGACATCCATCTCGCGGCTCGCTTAATTCTATGTTAATTCGTAATTAAAATTCTTTTCAGACGGAGCCGCCTTTTGTGCTCGGCGAGCCCCGCTTTGGGTTGAAGGGATTAAGGATTGCAAAGATGGAAATCTTGCAGCCGCGTCCTGGCAGATACCGAAACGACAAGGGAGATGGCTTGTCTTTGTGACGTCTAGCCGCCGAGGAGAAACGCCGCGGCCGTCTTCGTTTTAAGCGGTCTCACTAACCCAGGGGTGAAATGCTCCCGGTTCAGACCGGATCGCCCGATCCGGTAGCGATGGTGGCGGGTGGTTTGGAGAACCGGTAGCAAAAATCCCTGCGCCCCCTCACCATGCCCAGCTGAGCTGCACGATCATCAGAGACTTTCTTTTTTTAACTTTTAAAAGCATTTTTTCTACAACCTCTTCCGACGGAAAAATGTTTTTAAAAGTAAAAAAAAAGCGCCTCTAATGATCGCGCGGCTCAGCTGGGATCGTCAGAGGCTTTTCATTTCAAAGCGGTTTTTTTCTGCAACCTCTTGGCCGAAGAGGTGGTAAAAAAAATGCTTTGAAAAGCCTCTGACGATCCCAGCTGAGTTGCCTGATCAGCAGAGGCTTTTCAAAGCATTTTTTTTACCACCTCTTCGGCCAAGAGGTTGCAGAAAAAAACGCTTTGAAAAGCCTCTGACGATCCCAACTGAGTTGCCTGATAGGCAGAGACTTTTCAAAGCATTAGGAAAAATGCTATAAAAAAAAAAAAAAAAAAAAGTTGGCCACGCCCACACAGTCACATTACCCCAAGCCACGCCCACAGAACCGGTAGTAACAAATTTTACATTTAACCCCTGCACTTACCGATCGCTTTGATGGACTCTCCGGGAAAGAGAGGGGCTTCTTCCATCTGGGCCAGCTTGTTCCCATCCCTCAGGGCCTGGCAAGAGATCCAAAAGGTGAAAATCAAATCCCGGGTCTCGTTTTCCACGAGCTTTTCCAAAGTGGGAAAAACCCACTTGCATTGGCTAGAAAGTTAGAGAAGCCGCACAAATTGCACGTTTTGTATACGTCAACACTGGGGGGGGGGGGGGGGGGGCAAGAGACTTGTTTGCAGACAAGGAGGCCAGGAGATCACAGGATCCCGCCACTCGGATACCAGTTCATCACCCGCTACTCTGGTTCTGCGACGGATCGGTCGTGGCCGATCCGGCTCAGACGGCGGTTTTCCGTGGGAGCGGGATGGGGAAATTTGACGAAGCAGGAGGGACGCTGATGTTACGAATGTGGGTTCGCCCCACCGTGAAGGGAAGGGATCCTGGATTTCAAGGTTTCAGAAGGGAATGGATTCCCGAGCAGGAGGCGTAGGGGCTGGTGATCCAGTGGCCGATCTCGGGACCTCTCGAGCTTGATCAAGGCAGAGTAAATCTGTCCAGGTTCTACGGGGCATCCGTGAAGCTGGATGGCTTTGCTCTTGGACGACACGCTGACGAAAGCGAAGTGGGTTAAAGTGCGAAAACACTTACGCAAAAGTCAGGCTGATTATCCCAGAAGTGCGTACAAAGGTTGTTAAGTTCCTACGGATCTAAAAGGTTTCAGCAAGGCTTAGGGAAACGGAGGCGGTGTTGTAAGCCAAGCTTCGTTAAATCTCCTCACCTGCTGGAAGTCTTATAGATCACATTTGTACCAGAAGACTTGCGTTAATCGTGGCTCCAAGATGCCAGGGTACCCTCTTAACGGCATCATGTAGCATTGATCATGGAGGGAAGGATGTTTCCGTGGCCCTTTTCAAGAACCCGTGGCTGTCTTCTCTACCTCGTGGCTATAGGCAGCCCTCGACTTACGACTATTTACCGTATTTTTCGGAGTATAAGACACACTTTTTTCCCCTCCCCTAAAAGAGGGTGAAAATTTGGGTGCGTTTTATACACAGAATGTAGCTTCGCCCTCCCTGTGGCCTCTACCTCCCAGCAATTTGCCTCCTTGTGGCAAACAGCCTGTTTCCGTTTCAGTTTCTTCACAGCCTGATTAGCACAAGCAGCTGATTGTCGGCTGGATCGGCCTCCTGACCATCAGCTGTTTCAGGCTGCAGGGATTGCCATTGCCTATTGCCGCCTGCACACAACCCTTTTTTGGCCTCCACTGTTTGCTGCAGGGAGGCAAATTGCTGGGAGGCAGAGGCAGATTGTTTTTCTTGTGCTAATCAGGCTGTGAAGAAAATGAAACTGAAACTGAAACAGGCTGTTTGCTGCAAGGAGGCAAATTGCTAGGAGGCAGAGGCAGATTTTGTTTTCTTGTTTTCCTCTCCAAAAGAGGTAGGTGTGTCTCATAGTCCGGAACGTCTTATACTCCGAAAAATACAGTAATTGAGAACCGAATTTTCCGCTGCTAACCCGAGACAGTGGTTAAGGGAGTTCTGCCCTGTTTTACCACCTTTCTCATCACCGTTGTTAAGTGAATCGGGCTTCTTCGTTGGCTTCGCTTGTCAGAAGGATGCAAAAGGGGATCACACATGACCCCAGGCGACTGTCATAAATATGAGTCGGTTGCCAAGCGGCTGAACTTTTGATCACGTGACCACGGGGATGGTCGTTAAGTGTGAAAAATGGTCACAAGTCCCTTTTTTTCTCAGAGCCGTCGTTAACTTCGGCCGCTAAACGAATGGTTGTAAGTCAAGGATTACCCCTACTCAAAAGTTCCAAGTCTCTAGGGGATAAGGCTAACCTTTGAAGCATTTTAAAGAAGAACCTCCCCAGTTTAGTAATTCTATCCTTGGCAGGAATTTATTTCCTAGGTTCTTCAAAACACACCTCTGGTTGCGTCTCCATCTTTCACGTCAGTTGTCAAGCTGTGGAGGAACAGGTTAACAAAACCCACCCGCATAGTACCTTTTTCCAACGCCCCATGGAAAAACACTAGCTCCGTGATGGCGAACCTAAGGCACGCGTGCCAGAAGTGGCACACATAGCCCTCTCTGTGGGCACGCGTGCCGTCGCCAGCTGCTCTTGTGGTTTTCGGCTCACACATGCATGCCGGACAGCTGGTATTCGCGGGTGCCGGAGCTCCGGAAAACAGCCTGGAAAACGCCCAAAAACCAGGCTGTTTTTTGGGGACCGTTTTCAGGCCTTTTTCTGGCCGTTTTCTGGGCCATTTTCTGTTCTGCCCCAGCTACGGACCCCAAAGAACGTAGCACACACAAAATCTATACAAAGCTTATTTTACTCAAATAACTCAGTCTTTTTCAAACAAAGACTGTTAATAAACTTTCTTAACAGCCTACAAGAATTCTAAGATAAGGTAATCACAGTCTTACTAGGGTTGGCAGAAAGCCCAGAAGCAATTTTGCAGAGAATCCAGACGCGAAGGAGAGTGAACTAAAGTTGTTCCCTACAGTTTGCTGCAATCGGCGTTCCTCCTTAAATAGGCTAAGGGAGTGGCCAATTAGCCCCAAGCCTTATTCTCGAGACCTCCTCCTGAGGAGCCACTCCTGCTTTTTGGCAGCTCTGTGTACCCGTGCATTAAGAAGAGGCTCCTCCTCTTCGTCCTTTTCACTTAAAGGAGCTTCTGAAGGCCCTGGCTGAATCCCTGCCTCTGGCACCACATCTTCTCCAGCCTCCTCACTGTCCGACTCAAGCACCAGCTGCACAGGCTGCTGGCGCAGCACCACACCAGCCTCCTCGTTGTCGGAATCAGCTACAATCTGCACAGGCCGCTGAAGGGCCACAACATTTTCTGGCTGTTTTCGGACAGTTTTCCGGGCCAAAAACAGCCTGAAAACAGCCCAAAAAATGGCCTGCAAATGGCCTGAAAAATGGCCATTATGTGCACGCCAGCCAGCTGGTCTTCGGAGTTTCCGGTGCTCCGGCACTCGCACATGCATTCACGGTCCAGTTTGGGCTCTCGGTGCCGAAAAGGTTCGCCATCACTGCACTAGCTATTTAAGTTAGGGAACGAAATAGGAGTATAAATATAAACCTGATCGAATTCTGCGTCAGAAGGATAACCATTGCGTCCATCCTGAATCTCCTGAATTGCAAGGTTGAAGCGAGTGGCAAGCAGAAGTAAGAGGAGGGGGGAAAAACATGCACAGAACAAGGTGAAAGGACAGAATTTTTTTTTCTTTTTTTGCAAAAAAGAGACAGTAGATACTTCAACGTCAGCTTTTTCATACCTTTCCCCAATCGAATGCATTAAAGTCGACAGGTTGGCACCTACGAAACCGGCTACTTTGGTTAAAACAAAAGAAAAGGAAAAAAGAAAAAGAAAACACAACAAAACGAAAGGAATGAACAGGAAGGCATGCATTTCTTTTCCTTTTAAAGAGAAAAACCTTAATCTCACAGAACGCCCTTGTCCTTTTGACACGCGAAATCTTTTAACCTCTCAAAACCGGAAAAAAAAAAAAGGCAAAATGCAGAGGATCAAAGTAGCCAGCATGCTTTAAAAAACGACAGAAGGAAACTGATTGACAGCACATCTCGGTAGCAGAAAACAAAAACCATGCAACAATCTGAAGATTGAACAATGACGTTTCCCTTCCCTCGCTGGTTCTATTAAAAGAATTTTTTTGTGTGTGCTAAGAATGCAACAAAACTGTCTGGAATCTGCTCATTAACATAAAGGGAGATTTGGGGTGAGATTCAGGGAAATGTGCCGTGCCAGAGTTTGACTGCACCTGGTTCTGATCGCCTGATTAAAATGTCAGATTGAAATGGTTCTGCAGGTCACAGGTTCCCCTCCCAGAGTTGGGTCGATCCATGAATGATGCTAAATTGCTGTTCCTCAAATATCTTTGAGAACATCCAGATCAACGGATATTTCCAACCTTGGCAACTTTTAAGACTTGTGGACTTCAACTTCCACCGTGGGAATTCTGCTGTTTGCTAAGGTTGGAAACCCCGTCTAATGGCGCACAGAGCTTTGCAAGGCTTCTTCCAGAGCAGGTTGTCTCCAAACTTCAAACATGGCTGGCTCCCAATTCTGGGAATTGAAATCCACACGTCCTAAAGTTGCCAAATTTGGAGACGCCTGTTCTGGAGTTGAAGAAACAGTGGTCCTTTTTGACCAGAGCCCTCTCTTTCCCTGGCTTTGGATGTCTCTTTATCCTGTCCAATGGATTTGACTGGCCACCTAAATCTCCATGTTTCGTTATGGAGCTAAAGAACTGGATAAATTCCCTAGCTCTTCTCATCTGCGTCCCTTTCATTCGGAAAGCAGGGTTCAATTGCCCTTCAAACCGTCAGCAGCCAACCTTCAGAAGATTAAGGTAGATTGCGCTTCAGAATATCGTTTCAAAGAGCGGAACTGAGCTGTTGTGTCTTAAGTCTCGTCTGACACAGATGAAGGGTGTAGAATATAGCAGAAGATCCGGCACAAAAAAAATAAAATAAAAATAAGAAGAAGAAGCTAGAAAGATTTGGCTGAACGCTGAGCAATCAGATAGGGAGACAAGGGGAAAAAATGCAGTACATAACTGAAAATAAAATCCTTGCCTTTCACAAATAAAAACTTAGAGCAAATGTGTTTAGGGCAGTGGCTTTTCGTCTTGATATTTTATTTGAAGGTTCAGTATAGGCATCATACTTATATGGTTGAAAGTCTCCTTATAAAGTAGGGAAGCAGATAGTAAGTAGTCCAAGGTTTTTTTCTTCTTCTTTTTATGCATTTCTTGCTTGTCTATTTGATCATTGGAAAGAGGAGCTTTTTTTGGGAAAGGACAGCAAAGCAAAAAGAAAAGAAAAAAAAAAATCACCACCGAATGAATCTCTATGGAGATTCTCCATCATCCAGGTCATGGATGTTTTTTTCAAAAGGCAACTGGGCTTTTCTTTGTTTTGCCTTGAAAATGTTTCCCCTTCTCATCCGGGAAACTTCTTCAGAACTAAAGAAGTGAATGGATGAAAAGCGAAACATTGAGGGTTGGACTAGATGTCCTACAAGGTACCTTCCAACTCTTGTTAATCTGGAACCTATAGCCTTTTGCAAAGTACCCTGGGGACACCGAAGTAATCTGTTTTAACAATTTGGGGAGCCACGCTACTGGCTACTGCAGTGATAACCCCCTGAGACCCCTGTGTTAAGACTCCCTCTCTGAAGAGTTTGACAATCAAGCTTGTGTAAAGGGAGGCGTGAATGGGCCTCTTGTTGATACAGACTAAATTAAGGCTTTCCGTAGACTTTCCTTTCCAACCACTTGAGCACACTGCCTGCTTTACAGCTGCTAAAATTGTGCTCTGCCGCCTGCAGCACGCAAGCGTCAGCTGGGAGGACTTACGTTGTCAGAATTAATAGGATAAAACCTAAGTTGTTTCCCTTGCTTTTCCAACGAAAGTTAAAATACTCCTAATCTGGGTTTTTTTTTTCAGGAATGCGGTGGCTCAGTGGCTAACACGCTGAGCTTGCCGATCGAAAAGTCGGCCGGCAGTTCAGCGGTTCGAATCCCTAGCGCCGCGTAACAGGGGTGAGTTCCCGTGACTTGTCCCGGCTTCTGCCAACCTAGCAGTTCGAAAGCACATAAAAAATGCAGGTAGAAAAATAGGGACCACCTTTGGTGGGAAGGAAACAGCGTTCCGTGCACCTTTGGTGTTGAGTTATGTCGGCCACACGACCACGGAGACGTCCTCGGACAGCGCTGGCTCTTCGGCTTTGAAACGGAGATGAGCACTGCCCCCTAGAGTGGGGAACGACTAGCACATATGTGCGAGGGGAACCTTTACCTTTACCTTAATCTGATTTTTATTGTTTATGAAAGCACTGGAATACAACATACAACAGTTCTATGGCAAACAAGCTATTATGCTGCATAGTGAGAGGGGCCAGCAGCTTAAAAACAACCATTTATGAAGTCAAGAAGTCAAACACCAAAAGCACATCAAGTTTTGAACACAACAGGGGGAAAAAAAAAAGCACAGAACAGATAAAGAGTCTAACTTGCTGACAGCCACATATATTCTTACCCTTATGGTAGGCTTCCTGTACACCTGTTAGTTAAAATACAGATATTATCCAACAAGTTATAGACTGAAATCCTGATTTTAGGCAAAGCCACTTCCATGAGGATGTTCTCAGAGGCCCAATCAGGGCCATAGATCTATATGATCACTTATTACAAGATTGAATATCAATGCATCAAGGATTTTCAAATAACCAAGGGACTTCCCTTCCCACCCCAAAATGTGGAATCTCTTCCATTAATTTCTTTGAAGGTGTTGACAAAAAAAATATCAAGAGAACCAGAAGTTTAAAGACAACCATAAAGTGAAATCTTTGGTCAGCAGAATTAGGATATTCTGCTGACTAAAGATTTTGCATTTTGAATTGCATTCAAAATATGCAATTACTTCACTGGTTTTTTTTTAAAAAAAGAAAATACTGTCATTAAAAACAAAAACAAAGGTAAGGTTGGTATTTTAACATGGATGCACCAATTATTTCATTCCTTCCCACTACCTGTTATTCGCAGGAAACAAGTACCACTGAAATATTCAGATTTATTTTGCATAGTTAAAATAATAATTTACCACCACAAGGTAGCCAATAATCTACCACTAATGGGTAGTCTCCTGAATAAATTTAAGCAACTGTTTAAATCTTGATCGCTTCAGTCAGGTAATTAATTAAACAAGACGCACCCAAAGTTAGAACTAACATTTATAGTCTCAATGCTATTCTATCATGGTGTATTTATTTGTTTGTTTTATTATTATCTTAACAGAATGTGAGAAGTAAATACGACGTTTGACCCTGATCGGGGACAGTTCTCCAGGAAGTTAGCTAAAGATATTCCTTCAAGTTCTCAATGGGGAAAAAAAACTGAATAAAGAAAAAAAAAGTCCCCAAGATATATGGAGAATAGAAATTTAATCTCCAATTCCATCAGCCAATGTAATGGCAGAGACAACTTATCTGTCCAAATTATAGTTATTTTGATCACGGGGCCAAGGAGGATGCTACAAGGGTCGTAAGTGTGAAAAACGGTCATTAAGTCGCTTTTTTTCCACTGCCGTTGTAACTTTGAATGGTCACTAAACGAACAGTTGTAATTTGAGGACTACCTGTATCTTTAGATCTTTTATCACCGAGTCTTCAATGTAAAAAAACTTCAGCTAAAGCTTCTAGCACTGTCACTAAATGAAACTGTTGTAAATCCAGGACTACCTGTATTATATTTTAGCTGACATGTATGACAACCCGGATGCTTATTTAGCATCCTGTGACTATCACTAAGTTTTGTATCTAATGTTTTATGATGAATGTATTTTTTACAATGACTACAATTAATGATCTATCACTATTATTGTATGTACACTGAGTTTATTCCTTGTGTGTCTTGGCCAATAAAGAATTCACTTGGCCAATAAAGAATTCTAATTTCTACTCTTATTTCTAAAACTCTCAGTACTACTGATAAGATACATTAAATAAATTAAGATTAAAAACTTACCCGATGTTCTCTGGATACATTGTCCGAGAGGACAGAACCCGAAATCTGGCTTGAAATCGTAGCTGCGATGAGTTGCTTGCACCACTCAACATGGGATCCTGTAGGGCTACAAGACGACACGTAACATGTGATTTGACTTTTTAAAAAACTGCTTCTATATCTATACAAGTAGGCCTCGACTTACAACCGTTCCGTTTAGTGACCGTTCGAAGTTACAAGGGCACGGAAAAAAAGTGACGTTTCACATTTACAACCGTTGCAGCAAGGTCCTGGTCATGTGATTAAAATTTGGAACCCCTGGAAACGGACTCCTCTATTTATGACGGTCGCAGTGGTCCGGGGTCATGTGATCCCCCTTTTGAGACCTTCCAACAAGCCAAGTCAACGGGGAAGCCAGATTCACTTAACAACCGGGTGACTCAACGATGACAATGATTCTCTTAACAGTGAGGAAAGGTCGTAAAATGAGGCAAAACTCACTGTCTTGTTTAGCAGCGGAAAGTTGATGCCCCCCCCAATAGTATTTTTTCCCCCAACTATCCATCCTGCCCACCGTGCCAGTAAGTGCCTCTTTCCCAGCCCGGCTGGACTACAAACCCCATCACCCTATATTTAATTTTGTGAGCTGCGAAAAGGGCAAGCAGTGTTGCAAAGTGAGGATTTATAAAAGTTGATGCCTAAAAATAAAAATAGCATTTCCCCCCCCCCCCAACCTCCCCCCCCCCCTTCCCCCCCCCAAAAGGCCCCTTTCCCAGTCTTGGCTGGACTACAAACCCCATCACCCACCCCAAAAGAAGCTCCTCCTGTCACCCCCCCTCAACCCCAACCCCCCAAAAAGAAGACCACCCACCAGTTGCTCTGGACTACAAAAACCCCCCTTCCTCAAAACAATAGCAACTCCAGATTGCCTAGGGACGGGTGGGGTGGGGGGAGGGAAAGAACCACAAAGCCCATGTTGCCCAGAGGCCCAAACTCCAGCACTCTCAACCCCCCACTCCCCCCCAAAAAACCCCTCCTCTTCTCTTTATGTCAGCCCCGAACCCGCCAGGATGGACGACAAAGCCCATATTTCCCTTCCCGCCCGTCGGCGGGGGAGTAGCCGCCAGAGGAGGGCGACTCCGGCTAGGCCCGGCCGCGCACCATGGGCTTTGGAGTCGTGGTGGTAGTTGACGGGCGGGCGAAGGCCCGTTTTTTTTCTCTCTCTCTCTCTCTCTTCCTTCCTTCCTTCCTTCCCGGCCTGCCTCACCTGTCGGCGGGCTGTTCGGCGCCTGGCGAGGCCGAGGCCGGGGCCGTGGAGGCAGCCGGGGCCGCCAAGCGGGAGGGCCTCCGGGCCGGGCCTCCTGACTCCAGCGAAGCCCCCAACGCCGTCCCCGTCCCCGTCGCCGCCGCCGCCGGCCTGCCGCCTTCCATGTTGGACGCGCCGCTTCCGCCGAGCAGGAGGGGCCGCTTCAGCCGCCGACGCCGCCTGGCCGGGCAGGGCCTCCTCCGCCCCGATGCCGACAAGCGGGGGAAATGGGTGGGTGGGTGGCTGCAAAGGGGCTCGCGGGGCCCAGGCTGGGGGATGCAAAAGGGGGGTGGGGGGTGGGTGTGCAAAGCTGGGGGGGAATGGGGAATGGAGAAGGGGGGGTGTGCAAAGCTTGGGGCCAAGGGAGAAGGGTGTGCAAAGCTAGGGAATGGAAGCGTGGGTGTGCAAAGCTGGGAAAAAGGAGAAGTGTGCCTGGGAGTGCGAGGCTGGGGGATGGAAGGGTGGCTGGGAGTGCAAAGCTTGGGGCCAAGGGAGAAGGGGTGGGTGTGCAAAGTTAGAGAGTGGAAGTGTCCCTGGGCAAAGCTCTGGGTGGGGGGGAATGGAGAAGGGTGGGTGGGCGTGCAAAAGCTGGGGAAAGGAAGGGTGTCTGCAAAGCTGGGGGGGGGAAATGGGGAATGGAGAAGTGGGGGTGTGCAAGGCTTGGGGCCAAGGGAGAAGGGGGGGTACCGGGTGTGCAAAGCTAGGGAATGGAAGCGTGGGTGTGCAAAGCTGGGAAAAAGGAGAAGTGTGCCTGGGAGTGCGAGGCTGGGGGATGGAAGGGTGGCTGGGAGTGCAAAGCTGGGGGGGAATGGAGAAGTGTGGGTGTGCAAGGCTTGGGGCCAAGGGAGAAGGGCTGGGTGTGCAAAGTTAGGGAGTAGAAGTGTCCCTGGGCAAAGCTCGAGGGGTGGGGGGGAGGGAATGGAGAAGGGTGGGTGGGTGTGCAAAGCTGGGGAAAGGAAGGGTGTCTGCAAAGCTGGGGGGGGGGGGGAATGGGGAATGGAGAAGTGTGGGTGTGCAAAGCTTGGGGCCCAAGGGAGAAGTGTGCCTGGAGTGCGAGGCTAGGGATGGAAGGGTGGCTGGGAGTGCAAAGCTGGGGGAATGGGAATGGAGAAGTGTGGGTGTGCAAAGCTTGGGGCCAAGGGAGAAGGGGTGGGTGTGCAAAGTTAGGGAGTGGAAGTGTGCCTGTGCAAAGCTGGGGAAGGACAAGTGCGAGGAGCCTAGGTGTGCAAGGCCGGGGAATGGAAAAGGTGTCCGAGGCAGGGGGGGAAGAAGTGTGTGCTGAAAACGGGGGCCAATGGAGGGGTGGGTGGGTGGGTGTGCAAAGCTGGGGAAGAAGTGCAAGTGTGAATGTGCAGAGCTGGGGAAGAAGTGCAGGGGCATGGGTATACAAGGTTGGGAAATGGAAAAAGTGTGCGGGTGTGCAAGGCTGGAGAATGTGAGCCTGAGTGTGCAAAACGGGGGCCAATAGAGGTGGGGGTGGGTGTGCCAAGCTGGGGGAATGGAAGCGTGCCTGTGCAAAGCTAAGGAAGGAGAAGTGCGAAGAGCGTAGGCGTGCAAAGCTATGACAGGTTGTGCAAAGCGGGAGAATGGGAAAGCGGGTGTGCCAAAGGAGAAGTGCTAGTGTGGGAATGGACAAGTGTTGGTGTTGTGGTGTAATGCTTATATTCCCATTCTTACTAGGCAAAGGAGTCTGTCTCATGAGGGACTCCACATCCCATGTGCCTTCCTCTCACTAGGGTCATCCCCATGCTTTTACGGTAGCTGTGGTTGGGCCAATGATGGCTTCAATGGGATATCGGATCCCTTTGCAGCTTTGCATTTCAAACGTGGCTTCCAAATCCGGTGGATTTCAATTCCCATCATCCCCAGCCAAGAATTAAGGGCAACAGTGCAAGGAATGCCCATCATGGACATTTCCCACCCTGAACTCAGCAAATCCACAAGACTGATGCCCTCTTCTCTCCCCCCTCCCACCTTTGTAACTTGAAGGAAAGAAATCAGCAAAAAAAAAATTAAATATTTGATTTTTATTTCATAATGAATTAAGCCAGTCGTGTTTTCTTTCTTTTTAGAAAAAAAAAAAAGCATTTTCACCAAGTTATATACTTCCCCCTCCCCCAAACAACATTAAATTCTCTACAGATCGAGATCCAATGCCTTGGTGCTGGCAACATAAATCGGTGAGATTCAGGTAATGAAAAAGACAAAGGCATTTTAAATTACCACTTTAGTTTAACTTCCTTTCCCCAAAGAGTTGACAGCTGTAGTGTTTTATTTTAAAAAACAAACAAATGTGTCTCAATTTATTCGTCCCAGTCCAAAGGAAACAGGTATTTCTTGTGGATTTACCACCACAAAGCACAAAGATTTAGAGTAGCAAGGGGAAAAAAAATGAGATATCTTATAACTTGCAAGCAAACAAATGACGGTTATGTTTGAATCTGGATAGCTTTTCAGTTTTCTGCTCTGGCGTTTAAAATAGAATAATGAGTTAAGTCTGAGTTTCTTGTGATACAAGTTACATATTTCTCCTACTCACTTCCCTTTAGCAAAGTACCCGCTGATAGGTGCGATAAAATGTAGGAGAGCATCACCAAAGAATGAAATTTTAGAGGACAAACATGAAAAAAGAAAATTCGTGCGCTACCTAGCTGAAAGTACTAAGTATTTTAGTCTATCCCTGAAGAAATAGTGCAAATTTCTTAGTATACAATTTTATTCTATTAATGTGCTCCATTTTTACTCTTATACTGAAAATATACTATTCCTAAAATATTCCAATGTCCTCTAAAACTAAGAAATTTATAATTATTTTGGAGTTTGACTTTATCCTTTAGAATCGTATTATTTACACTTTACAGAAAAGACTTCCATATCCTTAATTTACACATTGATCCTATAATTTCCGCCTTATATTTTGCAGATCAAAACTTACACATAAAGTAATTTACATACGGTAACCCCTTACCCCCCTCTTCCAAATACTTTTTAAAATAAATCATGTTAGCTACAAACAGTCCTTCCAAATCCTATGTTTCGCTTGTTCTGAAATGACCAAAACAGCTTTAAAAGTTTATATCCTAAGCAAAATATGTATTAAAAGATCAATTGTGCTGATTTTACAAGTGCTCGTTAAGTTACGTTTTAAAAAGATTCCTGAAAGGAACAAATCATAAAATTTGACAAAAAGACCAACACAAGGACCAAAAAAAGGAGGAAAAAACAAACAAACCCTACCCTGCAAATTTTAAATGTAGGGAATCGGACAACTTAGCGCACTCCGGATATCCTACACAATCTTGTTGCTACTAGCGGTGTTATCTAGGGCTAATAGCAATCGAAGTGCAAAGCAACAGGAGGAAGATTCCAAATTGTTTTACTCCTGGATTTTAAGTTTCTTCAGTGCATAAACGTTCCGCAAATCGTTTTAATGTATTTCAGGAAAGGCTAACCCATTACAGAATGTCAGTCACGCAGATATGGTGACACATACACACAAGCACCACCTCCCTTCATTTTTCAAAAAATTAAATGTTAAATCTGCTCTGTAGATAAGGCCATCGCTTAACAGGCACACATTTTCAGGACAGTTTCCCGTTCTTGGTAGCTCGCCGTTGTAGATGCCGTCACCTTAGGCGTTAAAAAATGGCGTTTGATCGGAAATTTACGCGGTGTCGTAAATGTCTTAGCAGCCGGTCTGGCTTTAAATTCTCGTCTCCGAGGGCCACAGACAGAAGGATGAGTTCAGAAGGATCACGTTGACCCAGACTTTACACAGAGAGGCAGCTGAGCCTGAGCGAGGTAACAGCCTGGTGACGGACAAGGAAATCGTGCTAGTCCCCAAAACGGTGATTAGTACTGAAATTAACTATATATTTGGATGCTCCAAAGTAAACGGCAACAAAACAACGCTTTAGGACAGTTGGGAGAGCATGTTCCCAGGCAAAAGGTTTCCGAAGGCACGTAAAATCCACTTTTAAAAAGCTCCCCCGGGTTCAAATCCTCTCCGCAGGGGACAAGCGTTTCCGAAGAAGCTTCAGATAAGGCATTTTAGTTTTCCTTCTCTCTGTCCCGCACGTCGGAATAAAGCACCGCTTTAGTGACGAGAGGTTTCGGGAGAGAAAGAGCCAAGCTTCTCTCTCTCCTTCAAAAGTGAGTTTGCACATGCGACATCATCTGGGAGGAAGAGGAGGAGGAGGAGGAGGAAGGCGAGGAGGAATTGGACAATTTGGGGTTGCTCGTGATTTGCAATTCTTCCAGCCGCTTCATGTAATCGTCCCGCAGGGCTAGAAGTTCCATGTAACGCTGCTCCACTGGGTTAGGCTGCTAAACGAAGCGAAAAGGTCTTAAAATACAGAGTTTGGCCCCCAAAACAAAACTCTTAAGTCATATGAGATGAAAGAGTGAACGGGGTACGAATTAAGCTTGTATTGATTGAATTTCTTTTAAAGTATAAGACTTCGCTAGACCTCTTTGCTTTCCTGTCCTTTAAGGGTTTATCCAGTATGCATTTTCTTCTCCCACCCTGAAGGAGGAGAAGCATAAAGGGGGCATAAAGAATTCACCTACCCTAAAAGGCTTAATGCTCCTATCCAGTAGTTCAAACATTGTGGGTCGCCTGTAAGATTTGTATGGCCTTAGCCCAGTCATGGCGAACCTTTTCGACACCGAGTGCCCAAACCGGAACATGCGGGCATGTGTGTGCGCTGGAGCGCTGGAAACCCGAAGACCAGCTGGCCGGCACACTCTCGTCTATTTTTTGGCCGTTTTGGGGGCCATTTTCAGGCGCTCCAGTGCCCATGAAGACCAGCTGGCCAGCACGCATGTACGTGCCGGAAACCAGAAGAGGACCTGGCAACAGCGCATGTGCAGTTGGTGGCATGCATGCCAGGTGGCACGTATGCCAGAGATGGCACGTGCCGAGGTGGCACGCATGCCATAGGTGGCTCTGCGTGCCACCTCTGGCATGCGTGCCATAGGTTCGCCATCACGGCCTTAGCCTAAAGCAAGTATCGTACTCTGGTTTTCTCCAGTAATAGAAGTAGAAGTAGAAATGAATAGAGTAGAGTAGAGTAGAATAGAGAATATAGGATAGGAGAGAATAGAGAATATAGGAGAGAAAATAGAACAGAACAGAATAACTTTATTGTCACTTCGAATGTACACTAATCGGCATAAATTAAAATGAAATTTCATTGCATACAGCTCTCAAAAGGGTCACCACCTCCTATATACACTACATAAGTGTATACATACAACTTTGTTGCTTATATCCTTATGATTTGTATTGATTCCTAGTATGATTTGTTTGCTTATTGGTACCCTATGACTATCATTAAGTGTTGGACCTTATGATTCTTGACGAATGTATCTTTTCTTTTTATATATACTGAGAGCACATGCACCAAGACAAATTCCTTGTGTGTCCAAACACACTTGGCCAACAAAGAATTTTCTTCCTTTCCTTTCCTTCTTTCTTCTTCTTTTTCTTTCTTTCTTTTCCTTTTATCTATCTATCTATCTATCTATCTATCTATCTATCTATCTATCTATCTATCTATCTACCTACCTACCTACCTACCTACCACCACGACAGAATAAATAAATAAAAGCCAATTTCTTGCTCCTCATCCCTTTCAAAGCTGCTCCTTTTTGAGTCCCGCAAACATCTTCAGAACAAACATTTAAGCAAAGAGGAGACAGATGCCGTCCTTCCTTCTCGAGGCTGGCTTTCTGGCAACGGCCTCTAAAGGCCCACTGCAGGAAAGAAACAGCGGACTCTTTGTTCCGGTGGCTTCTTTTCAAAAGCTGCACTTGTCGGGCCGAGCGGCTGTTTTCTCCTTCGGCTCTCAGCTCGGCTGCCAAATTTCGAGGATAACGAGAAACGCCATGCCTGGGCCATCTTTTTTTCCGCCGAGCAGATCCGCTTTCAAAAAGATGTTACCCAACGAGCCACAAAAATGAGGGAAGAGAAACCTTAAGGAAACCCTGGAGTTTGATAGTGAAGTAAAAACTTGGCTTTTGCTATACAAGTAGTCCTTGTGAAAGGTGCTCAGCAACCTTTCGGAAATAAAATGGACCTTGAAAAAAGCTACATATGACCCCGATGCTAAGATCTGAAGGCCAAGGTCCCTTGTAGTCAAGTAATCACGATTTACATTTTTGCTGGAAATGGGCATTTTTGGTTCCAACAAAAAAACTTCTCAAGTGTTTGGTGTTTGCTTAATGCCCCAATGGTGATTTTTTTTCCCCAAGAGGCAACTGGATTTTCTTGGTTTTTCTCTGAAGACATTTCGCTTCTCACCCAAGAAGCTTCTTCAGCTCTGAGAGAAGCTGAAGAAGCTTCAGAGAGAAGCTGAGGAAGCTTCTTGGGCGAGAAGTGAAACCTCTTCAGAGAAAAAACAAGAAAATCCAGTTGCCTCTTGAAATAAAAAGCATCTTTGGGATAACCATGACTCGGGTGACGGAAAATCTCCATAGGGACATTAATGCCCCAATGTTTACTCAACGACTGCCTCCCAAAAAAGGTCATAAATAGGAAACGGTCACAAGGATGGAGTGCATTTTCAACTGTTGATTCTGATCATTAGAAATGCAGCCAGGAGAGATAGAGAATAGTGGAACGGAGAGAATGGGATGATGGGACTTGGCATACGACAGTTTTATAAGTGTATGTTTGATTAAAAAAAAGATTATATAGATCCATGCTATGTTTCTTTTTGAGCTGTGGTGGCACAGTGGTTAAGAGTGCAGTACTGCAGGCTACTTCTGCTGACGACCTGCAATTTGGCAGTTCAAATTGCACCAGGCTCAAGGTTGATTCAGCCTTCCATCCTTCTGAGGTGGGTAAAATGAGGACCCAGATTGTTGGGGGCAAGAGGCTGACTCTGTAAACCGCTTAGAGAGGGCTGGAAAGCACTGTAAAGTGGTATATAGTAAGTGCTATTGCTATTTCCTTCCTTCCTTCCCTCCCTCCCTGTGGTTAGACTGCAATATTTCAGACTAACTCTGCCCACTGTCAGGAGTTCAATCCTGACTGGCTCAAGGTTGACTCTGCCTTCCATCCTTCCGAGATGGGTAAAATGAGGACCCAGATTGTTGGAGGGGCAAAATGCTGACTCTCTAAACCGCTCAGAGAGGGCTGGAAAGCACTGTGAAGTGGTATACAAGTCTAAATGCTATTGCTGTTAAAGAAAGTTGAGATGCTTTACCTGCTGCCTAATCCGTGGATTCCATCGAATGTAGTAATTCACCCAGAGCTCCAAGTGGCGCATGCTTGCGACTGGGTAAAGGGCCCGGTTCAATTCTTTTGTATAGAAGGGGTTGGTATATTTTGACTTGGCGCTATTGATCAAGGACCAGAGAGACAGGGATTTCTCGCTCAGTTTCTGCAAGCAAAGAGACAAACCCAAGAATCAGATTCAGCAAAAACTGTAATCCATAAGTAGTAATATATACAGGTAGTCCTCAAGTTACAACCACAATCGCTGCAGTTGTTAAATTAGAAACACGGTTATTAAATGATTCCTTCCTTCCTTCCCTTCCCTTCCCTTCCCTTCCCTTCCCTTCTGTTAGAATGTAGTATTGCAGACTAGTTCTGCCAACTGGCAGGAATTCAATCCTCACCAGCTCAAGGTTGACTCAGCCTTCCATCCTCCTAAAGTTGGTAAAATGAGGACCCCGATTGTTGGGGGCAAGAGGCTCACTCTGTAAAGCACTTAGAGTGGGCTGTAAAAAGCACTATAAAGCGGTATATAAGTCTAAGAGCTATTGCTATCAACACACATTAACTCACCTCTTTCTCTCTGACGGAGTCGCAGCTGTACAAAAACGTACCAAAGCGGCAACTGTACAAATGATCCAGAATAGTAATCAAAAATTGTTCGTTGAACTCGAAAGCTGTGGGAAACTAGCAAAAAAAAAAAAAAGGCGAAGTTTAAGATAAGATACAAAGGGCAGGCAGTCCTCAAGATATGACCACAATGGACCCCGAAATTTCTGTTGCTGAGTGAAACATTGGTTAAGTGAGGGTTGCCCCATTTTATGATTTTTCTCGCCACTGTTGTTCAATGTGGTTGTTAAGTTAGTCACACGGTTATATAATGACATAATTCCCAGCTGGTCATTAGAAATACTTATGGGAATATTAGAAATTAAAACTTTGATCAAAATCAGGGTCCTTGGTGACTGGCTGGCATTGACAATTACATTTGCAGGGTCCCATACATCTTGCTTTGTGTTGTTGCGTCCCCAAACAGTGCCTGGATCCCAGGCCAGCAGACGCACAACGCATAACTTTATAACGAACGAAGAAATGATAGCAAAGCCAATGTCTACGGAGTTTCTCAGTCATTCAGGTTGCGGTTGTCCCAAAGGTGCTTTTTAAAGAGGCCGCTGGACTTTCTGGTTTTTCTTTGAAGACGTTTTGTTTCTCTTCCAAGAAACTTCTTCAGCTCTGAGAGAAGCTGAAGAAGCATCTTGGATGAGGAGCGAAACGTCTTCAGAGAAAAACCAGAAAGTTCAGCTGCCTCTTTAAAAAGCACCTTTGGGATATAGCAAAGCCAATTAAATCTTCCACCTTCCAACGCAGCTTACTTGCTTGGACATTTGCCAGACGCAGTCGATGAATTGGAGGAAGATGGGGGACCGATCTGCGTCTGCGTGGTTTTTGTCTCCGTGACCGATTCTCTGGAGCGGAAAAAAAGAAAAAATGATAACAGCGCTCATCACACAAGTCGGCTTTGCTTTAGAAGGAGCAAACTCTTTCACAAAAGTTTTGGGAACAAGCTGACCTTCCTTATACAAAATGAAGTAAAGAAGAAGAAAAAAACCCAGCTGAATTAGACCGAGTTTTTTTTCTCCAAATATAACAATTCAATTCTAATTAAGCTGGTTTTAAAAGTTATTTATGAGGCATGTTACTTTTGGAAGTTTGTAGTATATGGCAAAGAGTCTTAAAATGTAAGCGGCAACAGCAAACGTACATTTTAAAAGCTTCCCAAGTTTTTATAAAATAGGGGTATCCAATCCTTGACAACTCTACGATTTGTGAACTTCAACTCCCAGAATTCCTCAGCCAGCAGGAGGATTGAAGTGCTTTTTTTCAAAAGGCGACTGGACTTTGTTTTGGAAAAACAAATTGTTTTGGATATTTGTTTTTTCTGGGAGAAGAAAAAAAAACACCTTTGGAAAAACAAAGACCACCAACACAGGAGCATCAGACTTGGGTCTGCAACTGTACCCCGCTTTTCAAGTCTCAAAGCAATGTTGGCATTTAACAGATTAACAGAATCGGAAGGGAACTTGTAGGTCATCTAGTCCAACCCCCTGCCTACACCATTTCTGACCGATGGCAGCCCAGTCTCTTCTTGAAAGCTTCCAGTGATGAAGCTCCCACAACTTCTGAAGTTCTATGGGTTGATTGTTCTCAATAACTGCATTATCTTCAAACAGGTTTCTTTTATTAAATTTATTAATACTTATTAAATAACTGCATTATCAGGCAATTGGCAACTATGCTAACTGCATGGACACCACAGCCTTGTGGGTGTATTGGGATTTAAGCGAAACTGGTTTAACCAGGACTCCTTGTTTTGGTTCTCACCGATGCGAACTTATGTCCGAAGCTTATCCACTCCTTTTCCACCAAGACCTCGAAGCCCACGATGGTTCGGTAGTAGCTGTCCAACATCAACATGGCCAGAGAGGTGAGCTGGGCGGTGCGGTCCCAACCGTCGCTGCAATGCACCAAGACCGAACTCTTTCCGGAAGACACTTTATCAGCGACTTGGATGGCGCCCGTTAAAACCAGCTGGCAAGGAAGCAGAAAACGAAACTTGAGACGGGGTGGGGTTAGGACTCTTACCTCCTGCTATTATGAGCCGCGGTGGCGCAGTGGTTAGAGTGCAGTACTGCAGGCTACTTCTGCTGACTGCAATTTGGCAGTTCGAATCTCTCCAGGATCAAGGTTGACTCAGCCTTTCATCCTTCTGAGTTCAGTAAAATGAGGACCAAAATTGTTGGGGGCAAGAGGCTTACTCTGTAAACCGCTTAGAGAGGGCTGTAAAGCACTGTGAAGCAGTACATAAGTCCTATTGCTATTTTCCTTCCTTCCTTCCTTCCTTCCTTCCTTCCTTCCTTCCTTCCTTCCTTCCTTCCTTCCTTCCTTCCTTCCTCCCTCCCTCCCTCCCTCCCTCCCCTCCCCTTCCCTTCCCCATGCATCCATATCAACTTAAGGTTGACTCAGCCTTCCATCCTTCCAAGGTGGATAAAATGAGGACCCAGATTGTTGGGGGCAATAGGCTGACTCTGTAAACCGCTTAGAGGGGGCTGTAAAAGCACTATAAAGTGGTATATAACTCTAAGTGGTATAGCTACTTTCCTTCCTTGCTTCCTTCCCTTCCCTTCTCCATCCATCCATCCATCCATCCATCCATCCATCCATCCATCCATCCAATTCAAGAGCTTGGACCCCCATGGCATCCAGACTGTGCTGGTCAGCCCAGCAACCCTCCTCACTGTACCTTGATATGTTCCAGCCAGTGGGTGGACTCCAAGCTTGACAGCCAATGAGACTCTTCCACGTGGGGGTAGACGATGTCTTTCAGCTTTTTCAACGATTCCCGCATGACGTGAATGTTATGGATATCCAGGAAAAGCAGTTCGGCATCCGGATACGCGTCTTCATTTTCGTATCCGCCACCGGTTGCCTTGGATCAAAGAGGAAGGGAGCGTTTAATTTCCTTCACGCGACCACCGCCATTGTCATCATATACCCGTGTTTTCACCGAAAATAAGACTATTAATTTTTGCTCTGAAAGACGCATTAGGTGTCAACTCTGAAGCCGACCTGATGGAGGCCATCTTGGAGGCTTCAGCGTTGCCATGATGGTGATGAGGAGGGGGGGGGAGGGAGAATAGAGATAGCTGGGATTTTGTAGTCAAATCAAAATAGTTTCTCCTGGGAACCAAGGACATTCCCACAGGTGGCTAAAGAGGGGAGGAGTGACGTTACCAAGCAACCGGACAGCACCTTGATTGGACCATGTGACTGACTGACTGGGGAAAGGGGGAGGGGGAACTTTTACTTTTAATTAGGTGAAAACTGCGGGAACCTTTAGAGTCGGTTTTCACTAATATGATATATTCAATAAAACTGTTGTTTGAGGAATCTACCTGCCCCGGAGTTCTGTTTGCTATGGATGTATTACTTGGAACCCTGACATTAGGGCTTATTTTCGGGGAAATACGGTACTAAAATGTGTCCATCTGGCTGACGCCCTTAACTGGGGCTTATTTTTGGGGTAGGGCGTACATTAGGAGCATCCTGAAAAATCACTCTAGGGCTTATTTTCTGGTGGGGTCTTACTTTCAAGGAAACGGGGGCATTCCCAACACAACTGTTGACTCAAGGTTGACTCAGCCTTCCATCCTTTCGAGGTAGGTAAAATGAGGACCCGGATTGTGTGGGCAATAAGCTGACTTATTTTTTAACACCGCTTAGGGAGGGCCAAAAGCCCTACTAAGCAGGTATATACAAAAAAATAAAATAAAATAAAATATGAAGGCTATTGCTTAACGCATTGTAAGCCGCCTGAGTCTCCGGAGAAGGGCGGCATATAAATGGAACCAATAAATGAATAAATAAATAAACTAACTAACTGGTGGGCTCGCAGAAACACCGAGGAGTTATGTAAAATCACCTTCCAAGCCCAGGGAAGGGGGGAAAAAAGAATCACCACTCAGTTCTGATTACGCAAGTATCGTCTTTGTGGGCCCCAATGGATCAATTTGTATGGAAACTGATTTATATTAATATGAAACTTGTGTTTTCATATAGGGAGTCCTCGACTTATAACCATTCCTTTAGGGACCGAAGTTGCAGCAGCACTGGAAAAAAAAAAGGAGTTTATGACTGGTCCTTGCACTTACGACTGTGGCCGCATCGCCACAAGTCCTGCAATCAAAATCTGGGTGCTTGCCAACCGGCGTGTATTTATGACGGTTGCAGCATCTCGGGGTTACACGGTCACTATTTGTGATCTTCCCAGACTTTCTAACAGAGCAATGTGTGCGGTGAAACATGATCGTTTCTCCAGTGAGCACTGATTTAATCCCTGCCTCAGGCTCCCCTAATCCCACTAGGGATCCAGGCTCCCCTAATCAAATATTTTTTAAGTTTAAATGTCAATATGGTTATTTTTCTTTGCCAAGTAAGACTTAATGCATTAAGTAAACGGCATTAACAAGAAAATGAAGAGTTTTCATATCCCTCGTCGACCAATCTAGCTGCTAAAACTGCTCCATGGGGCTGGAGAATACAAAACAGGAAATATGTATCTGTATGAAATCCCAAAAGCAGGACTTCCAAGTTATTTTTCCAAGTAAAACTTCAATCAGCCAAGTTACTTTATGACTTTGGGCATGTCCCTCTCTCTTAGCTCACCTGCCTCACAGGGTTGTTGTGTGGAAAATAAGAGGAGGAGGAGGAGGGAAGCGTAATTAGGTGTGTTTATTACTTACAAAGTAATAAAGATGGGATTTTTTTAAAAAAAAAATCAAACAAATAACCAAAATTAGGTGAGAGTAAATGCTTCTGGCTCTCCAAAGAATACCAAACATGTGGCGCACAGAAGCCGATGTACGCGGCCTCTCTGGAGTAAAGCAAGACAGTTAATTTTAGCTATGGAAGGGACTGAGTAATCCTCGGGTGTGGCTCGAGAAACAACAAAGCAAAAGGGAATAAGCAGGAGGGAAGGAATGCAGCCACTAGACTTTTCATAAACAACTGGGGAAAAAAATGTATCTGCATTTCCCTCCCTGCATTTTAGCTTACAAGCATTGAACTTCGAGTTTTAAGTCAAGATGACTTTTGAAAGGAAGAAAACTTTCATAAAGAGAAAGAAAAAATAGAAAGCTTTTATAAAGAGGTTATTTTCTAGGCCCAGTCTTGGATATGGTAAACAATACATACCAGAGGTGGGTTTCAGCAGGTTCTGACCAGTTCTGCAGAACCGGTAGCGGAAATTTTGAGTTCGGAGAACCGGTAAATGCCACCTCTGACTGGCACCGCCCCCAACTATTCTCTACTTCCCAAATCCCAACTGATCGGGAGGAAATGGGGATTTTACAGTATCCTTCCCCTGGAGTGGGGATTTTGCGGTAACCTACCTCTGGAGTGAGGAGGGAATGGAGATTTTGCAGTATCCTTCCCCTGCCACACCACCAAGCTCACAGAACCGGTAGTAAAATTTTTTGAATCCCACCACTGATACACATGGAGTGCATATGCATACCCCAGTATACATTTTAAGTCAAATTTTCTCCTATTCCTTGAGAATGGGCAGGAACAGTTTGCTTCAAAAGTCTATCTCTTTAAAGAATGAATTTGATTAATGTTTTTATCCTCCGTGAGGCTGCAAAAAACATTTTTTTTTTTTTTAAAAAGCCAGCATTTAGCAATGGGGAGGGAGCCATGCTGGCTAATTAATCGGGGGATGATTTTTTTCCCCGGTGACTTTATTGAAAAGTTTAGTCACTTGGAATTTACTGTGAATGTAAACAAGGTGGAGCTATTTCAACTTTAGAAGAGGGGGGAAAAAGGCGCATGGCTCATCCTTTTGACGCCTGGACTTTAAATCTCGTTAGCAGGAAGTCGTATTCTTCCCACAGCAGAGCAGATTGTGTGGCTGTGACGACATGATAGCAACTTGGTTAACCGCGAACGCTGACTGTCAAACATCCAGAAAGCATTTTGAAGTCTTAGCCATTCCTTCAAGTTAGCGCTTTCCAAATCTGGGAATCTCCAGATGTATTTAAAAGGACAATATTTCAGAACACTGAGCCAGAAGATTCTTTTGACTCAGCATGCCTGGCGATCTCCAGAGGAATAGAATAGAATGACAGAGTTGGAAGGGACCTTGGAGGTCTTCTAGTCCAACCCCCTGCTTAGGCAGGAAACCCTACACCACTTCAGACAAATGATTATCCAACATCTTCTTAAAAACTTCCAGTGTTGGAGCATTCACAACTTCAGGAGGCAAGTTGTTCCACTGATTAATTGTTCTCACTGTCAGGAAATTTCTCCTTAGTTCTAAGTTGCTTCTCTCATTGATGAGTTTCCACCCATTGCTTCTTGTCCTGCCTTCAGGTGCTTTGGAGAATTGCTTGACTCCCTCTTCTTTGGGGCAGCCCCTGAGATATTGGAAGACTGCTATCATGTCTCCCCTAGTCCTTCTTTTCATTAAACTAGACATACCCAGTTCCTGCCACCGTTCTTCATATGTTTTAGCCTCCAGTCCCCTAATCATCTTTGCTGCTCTTCTCTGCATTCTTTCTAGAGTCTCCACATCTTTTTTACATCGTAGCGACCAAAACTGGATGCAGGATTCCAAGTGTGGCCTTACCAAGGAGTAAAAGCTCACTTAAGCGACGTCCCTGGAAAAGGGGCATCACTCTGGACAGGAAGATGAAGAGAGAGGCTGGGTACCTTGTTAGCTACAGCGTTGACGTTGGGCCTGGCATCGAAGATGGTCAGTTTGGAGAGCTGCCCGTTGGTTTCCCGTATGATTTCCAGGTATTTTTCATCGTCTTTGTTTCTTTTGCCACCCATGCCCACAAGGGGCTGGCTGGAGCGCGTGATGACAGCTTGGGTCTCCGGATGGATCCAGGACAACACCTAAGGGAACAATGAGAAGATATTCCATCAGAACTCGAAGGCTTTTTTAAAAAAAATTATTTATACATTTTTCTTTAACATACTTAAGTGCTTAGTAAACAGTGTATTGTCTGGGTCAATCTCCCCATTGCCAAATAGGAGCCAGCCATGTGCAGCAGCTGCCCAAAAAAGCCAACACAGTTCTAGGCTGCATATATTTTGGGCTCAGTTATGACTGTTAAGCCGAGACTAATTTTTTAGAGCCGGAGTCACTTACCGGGATTCGACACCGGGATCGGAAAGCAGAAACCTTCTTGAGATCTTCGTCCGTGGCGTTATACGGCACCACCAGGAGGGATGGGTATGTGTCGCAGAGCGCGTAGTGTTCGTTGAGGAAGGTTACCCTCCACTGGAGATTAGGCAAACCCTTTTGAGAGAACCGAAGACCGTCTTTGCAGGCCATCGTGTCGCGTGAGCAAGATGGCAATAAGCAAAGAGGAACGATTTGTGATTATGGCCACAGGGTGGCAACAGGCCACCAATTTATCGTTGAGTATCTCTACGGTTGGGGACCCAGAGTAGCAGATGGGGGGGCATTTTTGTGGAAAATGGGATGCACAGAGGGTTTGGGAGGCCTGCAGAGTGCTCCTGGGAGCTGGGGAGGGCAAAAACGTGCCACATGGGGTATTTAGGAGATTTCGCCTGTTTTTGGAGAAAACGGGATGCGCGGGGTAGGGTTTCCGGAGGCCAAAAATGGCTGTATTCGGTATTTATTTATTTATTTATTTATTTATTTATTTATTTTGTATACCGCCCTTCTCCCAGAAGGGACTCAGGGCGGTGAACAGCCAAAATTAAAAAACATACAAATGCAAAAGTTAAGATAATTAAAAGAATTAAATCATTGGCTACCCAAATTTAAAACCCCAAATCCATAAAATTTAAAATCCCAATTAAAAACCATTTAGGCTAGGCCGGCTTGATGAAATAAAAACGTCTTCAGGGCTTTATAAGACGCACCAACATTTCCACCCTCTTTTAGGGGGGGAAAAGTGTGTCTTAAACTCTGAAAAGTACGGTAACTAAGGGGAAGCACCTCACTCAACAAGACGCGTGGGAAGCCAAATGTTCTGGATGGAAGAGAGTTGCCAAAGTTATTGTGATTTGCTTAAGTTTTAAGAAGAGACTATCATTCTCTCTTTGGGCTTATCTTTGTTGATCCATCAATAAACCCATCTGTGTTTCAGTGAAGGTGTACCAGTTGTCTGCAGTTTAAAGGAACTCGAAATTTCTCCTACGTTGGCCTACAACTCCCAGGTTCCCTGATCATCCATTATGCTGGTGGAATGATAGCTCAGCAGCATCTGGCAGGCCAATATCCTCCTTTTGTGATTTAAATATTTATTACACATTTAAGAATAAATGACACTGAAGAAGCTTCCGTGCTCAGACAGTAAAGCAAACTGCTCAAGGCAAGATGACCTTACAGGTCTCTAAGACAAAGTTCTGTTCTTAAATTTCTCCTTCCTACCAAATGGGATGAATCAAATGAGTGACACCCATCTCTTTACAGGTAAGAATTGCTTGGCAGAGTAAGATGGGCAGTATATAAATTTAATGAATAAATAAACCAGCATATCCGCTGATCTGAATTCTTAGTTTTGCTTCAAGCCTGAACCAAATTCTTTACCCTCTATAACACAATACAAGGTTTAAAAATGAACAATGTAATACAGAACACCAATATTTTATTTTATAGAAAAATCTGTTCCAGGTGATGTACCTTCCTGGTCATTTATCCGTCTCACTTCACTAGCCTAGCTCATATCTTAAAAACAAAAATTAGCGTGCTTCCTATTTTCTGTTCATCCAGTTCAATTTGGCCACAGAACAGAAAGAAAACTATATACAGCAAACCCCCAAAAAACAAGGGTGGAAGAATGCAAAGGAGAAGTGGAAAAAACGAATTTACCTGTCTTCTGTATTCAACCATAGGATTATAAACCAGCCAGCCACTTTCCGCAAACTTCTCTTCATTCAGAAAAGCAAAGAAAGGCTGAGAGGATAAGAAGAAGAATTAGGAAGTGGAAGGCCAAAAGAAGAAAAGAGATTCAAGATGCCAAACTCTTTGCCTCTGCTGGCGGAGAAACTGCTTGGCTTACATTCCTCATCACCCAAAAGGGTTAAAACCTTTTCATTCAAAACTCGCTTTGATTTTATTCAAGAGAAGCATAAAAGCCAAAAAGAGTTTATCTCTGAAGAACGCCCCAAAACATTGACTTAAACTTAAAGCACATTACATCCTTTAGGAAGAGAAGTCATTCCCCCCCATCCCCGGAATAATAAGCCTGAACTCAATCATTAACTTTGAATTAGTAGGCACCCCTAACGAATCCGGGCAAAATACTGTATTCCCATTATCTATCAAGATTATCTTTGCCATTTCTAAATGTTTTTAGTTGTCCACACAGCAGGCAGCAAAGTTAAAAGTGTGAAACAACAGGCTCCCAAATTTGCTTTTTATATAGCGTAGGCAAAAAAGAAGCCTGTCGGAGCTTTGGAAGCCATATTAACCTCGGAAGCTTCCACTCTGCCACCTTCTTGCCCTTGGGAAAGTAGGAGGGGAGATTTGATAGAGCGTTTTTTTATAGACATAATACTATTCTTCTCTTCAGTCAAGGTCATGGTACTCCTGCATCTGGAGGAGGAGTGGTTGCAGTGGGGCCGCAAGTTGGGGCGGATGGTGATTGGGCCCTGTGATGGGGGCAGGGGCTGGATTTGGGGTTTTGATTTATCGAGGGAAAACCCGGAACTCTCAGATTTGGGTTTTCCGATGTGCCAGTATAAGGTAAAGGTAAAGTTTCCCCTTGCACATATGTGCTAGTCGTTCCTGACTCTAGGGGGCGGTGCTCATCTCCGTTTCAAAGCCGAAGAGCCAGCGCTGTCCGAAGACGTCTCCGTGGTCATGTGGCCGGCATGACTAATCGCCAAAGGCGCACGGAATGCTGTTACCTTCCCACCAAAGGGGGTCCCTATTTTTCTACTTGCATTTTTTATGTGCTTTCTGCTGGATTGGCAGAAGCTGGGACAAGGAACGGGAGCTCACCCCGTTATGCTGCACTAGGGATTTGAACCGCTGAACTGCTGACCTTTCGATCGACAAGCTCAGCGTCTTAGCCACTGAGCCACCACGTCCCTTGTACCAGTATACCTATTCCAATACATGAAGATTTTGAAGCTTGTCTCGGAGTTCTTAACTTGTCTGGGAGTTGGGTTGTTCTGGAACACTGAGAAAACCCACACAACTACAAAACCAATTCAAAAGATCTTACCAAGTTATGCGACTGTGGGAAAGCGTATTTTGTCAGGAGCTCAAATATATCTCTTCGGCTGTGACCTTCTTGTTTCAAAGCGAAGCGTAGATTCCTCATGTCCTACGATTTAAAACAAACCACAGCATTTTATTTTAAAAAACGAATGCCAAGGATTAATGTCAGGTAACTTGCTCTAGTAGCTTTGCAAACGGAGAGGTAAGGTTTTAAGTCAGAGATGGGACACGCGATCTACTCGTCTAACTGCAGACTTTGGTCCTACCATTTATTTCTCTTTTTAAGAGTGATGAGGTGGCCAACATTGTTTTGAAGTCTTACCTTACAAGTAATGTCTAATCCGTACGAATTTTCTCCTCTGCTCGAAGCGCCCCCCATTTTCTCAATCCTTGTAATAACTCCCAAAGGCATGTCTAATACCACTGTCGGATCCTGAGCAGACAAAAGAAGATGAAGCTCACGTTAAAGCGAAGGATTCCTAACAGATTGCACTTCCCTACCTGTGTTTGTCATAAAACACTACGAATCTTGAAAGCTAACAAAGGTTATCAATTTAATGGGATGGACGCTGCCGGATTAAAAAATAAACCCCAAAACAAAACAGCCTTAATGGGCCAATGAGGCAAGAAGCATAAATATAAAATAACCACCAACATAAAGCATTTAATAAATATCTACTAAATTGCTCCCAGGATATTTCAAGAGACCTGACCTTTAAAAAAATTAAAATTCTGCTGTATCTCAGCCCAGCACTCTTCTCATCAAAGGGACATAAAAAGGGGAACGGAGGTAGTCCTTGACTTAGGACTAGTTGGTGACTGTTTGAAGTTACAACGGACTTTCCCAGGGCTGCTTACAACCCCCGATTCAAAATTCTGACTATTGACAATCTGGCAGTCACATGAGATCATGTAGGGTGCTTGGCAATCATGTATGCGATTTACGATTTTTGCTGGAAATCGGCACTTCCTGGTTTCTGGCAAAACAACAACAACCAAAAAAAAGCCTCGGTGAATTGGTTCGTTTAACGACTGCCGTGTTTGGCGTTTCCTTTACGATCACTGCAAAAAAAGCACCTTAAAATTGGGCAGGGTTGTGTGATGACCTGCTTAATGACCGGAACGACTGACCGGTGGGCTCAATTATGGTTGTAAGTCGAGGAGTATCTATACAGCTTTCAGAATTCAAAAAGAGAGGGTAGATGAGTGTCCCTTGGGCCGGGCAATAAATATGAGACTATTCCATTCTTTATTTCGGTAGGAGATCGCACAGCCACGCGTGACTCAGAGCTTCGGAGATAGCATCAGGCTAAAAGATTGGCCTCCAGAGCCCTTAATCTCTTCTGGAATCCCGATGCACTTGTGGGCAAGTCGGAACACAAAGGCTAAAGCCCTGGATTGAAAGGAAGAATTTAGCTTAAAAGCATCTGCTGCACGTCTTAAGAGAGCGTCTTGTTTTCCATTCGGTTACTATGCTGAACTAACTTCCTTTCCGGGGAAGAAAACAAGCCATCAATTCGTACTCCGTTCAGATCACTGGAGGGGGACAGAATAAAATAAAGTAAAAAAAAAAAAAACGGCGTTGGAAAGGACCTTGGAGGTCTTCTAGTCTAACCCGCTTGCTTAAGCAGGAGACCCTATGCCAGTGATGGTTAAAATTTTCCGGACCAAGTGCCCAAAGCGTACGTGTGCCCTAACCTTCCAAATGCAATGCATGCACGCCTTCCGTGTTCGCCCGGCGCAGCAGTGACCAGAAGACCAGCTGGCTGGCGAGAGGTGCGTACGCATGCCCATCAGAGCTGAAGTGGGGCGACGGCTCGCATGTTATCTGAGAGGGTGCTGCATGCCACCTATGGCATGTGTTCGCCATCACGACCCTATGCCATTTCAGACAATTGGCTGTCCAATCTTAAAAACCTTCAGCGTTAAAGAGCACCCTCAACCTCTTGAGGCAAGTCGTTCCACTGATGAATTGTTCTGTCAAGAAATTTCTCCTTAGTTATAGATTGCTTCTCTCCTTGATTATTTTCCACCCGTTGCTTCTTGTCCTGCCCTCAAGTGCTTTGGAGAATAGCTTGACTCCCTCTTCTTTGTGGCAACTCCTGAGATATTGGAATCCTGCTATCATGTCTCCCCTAGTCCTTCTTTTCATAAGACTAGATATATCCAGTTCCTGCAACCGTTCTTTGTATGTTTTATCCTCCAGTCCCCTAATCATCTTTGTTGCTCTTCTCTGCACTCTTTCCAGAATCTCAACATCTTTTTATAATAGCGTGGCAACCAAAACTGGAGGCAGTGTTCCAACTGTGGTCTTAGCAAGGCATTCTAAAGTGGTATTAACACTTCACGTGTTCTTGATTCTGTCCCTCTCTTAATGCAGCCTAGGATTGCATTGTGGACAAACCTGTAATAATTCAGAATCTGACAACAGCAGGTGTCAACCGATCTCACCAACTGCAAATGCCACTCAGTTGAGGTCAATCTGGCAGAGAAGTTATCTAAGCAGTTGACTCTAACACACACAACAGAGGGATCTGAGGGACCGTCTCTTGCCGGTCACATCTACCCGACCCATCAGAGCGAGGAGGGAGGGAATGTTGCGGGTCCCATCCCCTAGGGAGATACACCTGGTGGGACCCAGAAGGGCCTTCTCCGTGGGTGGCTCCCTCTCTCTGGAACATCATCCCCCCCCCCAGAGATTAGAATGGCCCCCTCTCTAGCACTCTTCTGGAAGGAGCTGAAGATCTGATTCTGCCAGCGGGCCTGGGGAACGCAGAGCAGGATGGAGGCCCATTAAATGGCTCGTGTGATCTGCTGTCGCCGGGTGGGAGGTGATTTTGTTATATTGTACTGTATTACCGTATTTTTCGGAGTATAAGATGCACTGGACTATAAGACGCGTCTACCTTTTTTGATGAGGAAAACAAGAAAAAGAAATCTGCCTCTGCCTCCCAGCAATTTTTCCTCATTGCATCAAACAGCAAACAGCCTGCTTTCCTTTCATTTTCGTTTTCAGCATAGCTTGATTAGCACAAGGAAAAAAAAATTCTGCTCCCAGCAATTTAAGAGACCCAGGCAAAACAGCTGAGAGCAAAACAGCTGCGAGTCAGGAGGCCGATCCAATCAACTTGTGCTAATTAGGCTGTGCTGAAGCTGAAAGGAGCTGTTTCTTCTTGCTGTTTGCTGCAAGGAGGTAAACTGCTGGGAGGCAGAGGCCAAAGGATGGGGGCCAGTGGGTGGGCAGGGCTACATTCGGTGTATAAGACACACCTAAATTTTCACCCCCTTTCAGCGGGGAAAAAGGTGTGTCTTATACTCTGAAAAATACGGTAATATATTTGATTCTTTTTGTTAGTTTTTATTGTTTTAAACGTGGTCTTTTATTCTGTAAGCCATGGGTCGTCATGGGTGAATAGGTGGCAATATAAATTCAAGAAAGAAAGGAAGGAAGGAAGGAAGGAAGGAAGGAAGGAAGGAAGGAAGGAAGGAAGGAAGGAAGGAAGGAAGGAAGGAACCGTAGAACTTGCTTACCGATTCCACGCTTCTCAAGTAGAGCCTGTAGTTTGTGATGTAGACTCTCCCTTTAACAGGACCACTGAAAGGACACATGTAAATGACCTCTTTGTCTGTGGAAAGAAGAGAAGCTCCGCGTTTAAAATACAGCAAGGTAAATCAAGACCGGAACTCGAGATATTTACCGGTTCTCCGAACTACTCAAAATTTTCGCTACCTGGTTCTCCAGAACTGGTCAGAACCTGCTGAAACCCACCTCTGTAGAACATTCCGAATTTACCTGTCAAATTCTAAAAATTTACAGATCTCTGGACAGTATTTGAATGAATGAATGAGCTGGAAGGGACTTTGGAGGTCTTCTAGTCCAGCCTCCTGCTCAAGGAGGAGAATCTATGCTATTTATTAGCTGACTGGAGATGCTGAGACGGTTGGGAGTACAAGGACAGGTCAGTTCATTGATGTGATCAGAGCAGACGTTCAATGAATGTTTGTAGGCCGAGAACTACGGAACCTGTGTTTACCTGTCACTCTCGTTTCCCCTGGCAGACGAGGAATTTCTTCGTTGTGTTCCCAGTTAGTTCCATCTTTCAGGGGCTAAGAGGGAGAAAGGACAAGATCAGCTTTTTGTCCCGTGGGCAAGACCCTGTGGGTATAAACCTCACACAGCATTTAATTAGCGTATTTTTCAGACTATAAGACGCACCGGAGTAGAAGACGGACCAAGATTTCGAAGAGGTAAACAAGAAAAAAAAAAAAAAAACAGTTGCCCTCCCTGGCCCCCAGGAGCACTCTGTAGGCCTCCCAAACCCTCTGTGCGTCCTGCTTTTGCAAAAAATAGGCCCTTTTTTTTTCCCGCAAAAATGGGATGCACAGAGGGTTTGGGAGGCCTGCAGAGTGCTCCTGGGGGCTGGGGAGGGCAAAAACAGAGTTTTTGCGGAAACGGGCCCTCCCAAACCCCTCCTACGCATTGTTATTTGCCCTCCCCAGCCCCTAGGAGCACTCTGCAGGCCTCCCAAACCCTCTGCACATCATGTTTTTCGCAAAAACCGGCCTGTTTTTGGCAAAAACGGGATGCGCGGGGCAGTGTTTCAGAAGGCCAAAAATAGCTGTATTCGGTGTATAAGACGCACCAACATTTCCACCCTCTTTTAGGGGGGAAAAAGTGCGTCTTATATTACAAAAAGTACGGTATTAATTATCTGACTTAAAAGAAGCCTGGGGAAGACACTCACTTTTTTAATGGAGGCCTTTTCCAAGGAGTTTGAGTTGCATCGAGGCGTTGAGGAAGAGGAGGCCATGCTGGAGAAGGGCGGGGAAGACCTGCTGAGAGAGCGAGAAGAGAAGACGTCAGGTCAAATATTATGGACGCAAGGCAGCAAGGAGGAGTCATCAGGAGTTAGTTGGGACTTCACACCCCAGCAATTTTATAGAGCGTCAGAAATCAATATGCCCGGGTAGAGAAAAACCCTCTTAGCGTTAACACATCGTGGGGACACAATGACAATCCCAAATGGGTGCAAAAGGAACTTGTGAACTCTGACAAGCCCTTAGTATAAGGGAGTTGCAGGCATTGCAAACATAAAGCATTACATTAATTCAGGGAAAGAAAAAAAAATGAAGATGCTGTCAAAATGTTCTGGAATATAAAGCAGCCAGCCCGTCACGCAGATAAAAATTGCGTTGACACCGGTGGCAAAAAATAAATAAAAATTGTGTACAATGAGACCTCTTGGCCAGATCTTCACGTGAGCGCTGGCTCATCTTTTTAGGATTGAGTGCGTGGTTAATGCCCCGGAGACAATTCTCCCTGGGACGGTCAACCAGGAGCCAAACAATTTTTGAGGCATAGAATCCAGCGGTCTATGTGATGTGTCAGAAACGGTTCCAACCTCTTAGCCTTCCGGGTGAAGATCTTGGGGAGAAAATTATCACAACGCAGAGATATCCCAGAGCCCCAAGCAGCTAAACAGATGCTGTTTCTTTCAGGTTTAGAGGCTCAGGGGTTGTTCCCCGAAAACTAGCTCTCTCCCAAGACCAAGGAGATGGGTCAGGTTGGAATAATTTCATACTTATGACCATTGCTGTGTCCCAAGGTGATGTGATTCCCCCTTTTGTGACTTTCTGACAAGCAAAGTCAATGGGGAAGCTAGATTCACTGAACAAGGTTATTAATTTAACTGCAATGATTCAGTTAACAACCTTGGCAATAAAGGTCATAAAATGAGGCTAAACTCACTTAACCACATAAATTTTGGGCTCCATTGTGGCCGTAACTCAAAGACTACCTATATCCCTATTTTTAGACGCAAAGCAAAATCCTCTTCTAAGACGTTTCTGGCTCTGAGGAACAAATGCTGGGTTCGAAGATTTGGCTATAATTGAGCCTATATTAAGCGTATGTGGACTGAGATCAGCGATGACTCCAAGTTAATTATAGTAAGGAAGCTAACGGCTGCAGGCCGGCTTGTCTGGAAGCGAGGAGGATACTACAACCACGTCAAATTAAATAAATGAAGTCGCAAGGTAGTGTTGTTACTGGATGCTTTTTCACGCAGATTTTGCAGAAGCTCCTACTTCAGTGGTTAAAAAGCAAGGCTCAAGCCTACAGGAATTTGAGCATTTGTGCTGCAAGTGAAATGACATTGATTAAAGATTGTCCAATAAAAAGGGGAAGGAAAACCCTTGCACGTCCAGAAAATGTTCTCTTTCGAAAACTAAGAAGTGTGTGTGTATTTTCAACTGACATCCACTATTTAAAACAAAACAGGATTTTTCTGCCCATGCAGTCCTAAAAAACTCAAAAATCATTCCAGCAGAAGCTGAATGTAAATAACAAATTAGCCCCAAAACTGCCAATAAATAAAACCTTTGAGAGCGCCTTTTTTTTTTGCCTCCTCAAAATAGCATTTTAGCAACTCCGAGGGAGTGCTCGGTCCCTTCCTGCGGTCCCTGCCAGTTGTTTAAAACACAGCTATGTTTTTGCCATTTTTTTTTAGGATATCAAGTTACCTCCCCCAAGAAACAAAACATTGTGGAATAAAAACAGAAAAAAACTGAAGCTACGATACCAGCCTGCATACAGTAATTATGTCTTAGTAAACTTTACTCTGAAAAGTCTAAGAAATAACACTTGCTTTGGTTTGGCTTGTAGTTGTGTAGACTATAGTGTCACTTAACAACTACTTGGAAAGATGGCCCTGCATGAGGATTCACAAACACACACACACACACAGAGAAATACGCACTTGGAATCTAGACAGATATACACACCATTCATGCTATCCGGCTATCTCCTTGGTTGCAGAATTTCGGAGAGAATATAAATGCTACAGGAATATAATAGGATGTATTAATTCTAAATTAATTAATAGGACGTATTAATTCTAGAGTCAATTCTAGACTAATTCTACACTGATTTCATTATAAATAGACAGGAAAGCAAACAAACCAAGAACAGTGTGCGTCATTCTAACACCACAGCATTCGTAAGAACAGGAGTTCACTCCCTCCGCACAGCTTAATTTCCAGTGTGCTGAATCACTCAGGAACACAATCTCACAACAGTGCTGCTCTCCATCGTTTCCCCAAGGGAGCCCAAATGTGCAAAATGATCCAACACACCCACTCTGTGGGTCAAGGCCATTCAAGTTTTCCGGTTATCTTCTCCTCCTTTTTTGGGGGGGGAAAGTCACACAAATTCCCAAGCCATGGAAAAAAACATACCCATTTAGGCTTAAGAGATGGAAGAGATACCAATAATTTTTAACATGGAACAAAAAGAATACCATTTAAGAATTCAAAATAGAAAAGAGAATAAAGATAAAGGTGTTTTTTTTTTTAAATAATGGGGGAACTGAGGATAGGTGTTCTAGAGATTCAACGGCAAGGGACAGAAGCTGTGGCCATGGAAATATTTAGATTAAATAAACATGACCAAAGGAGTTATAAGATACCAGAAGCAGGACAGATTCACCAAAAAGTCCTTAAGAGTTGAAATTCTTAAAAAAGGGCAAGAGAGGATGGATAGGCGTAGAATACTTTTTAACATGGTGGTTATTTTAATAAGTGTTAGGGAAAAAGAAGCAGAAAGTAGAAATTGGGAAAATAGTATTATGTACACTGAAATATAATAACATATTACTATGATTACTATGTATACACAAATGTAAGAAGTTGAAAAAGTATGATTATGTATATTTAAGTGGTAATATCACAATTGTATGCAAAAAATATTGATCTACTGTTCACTAAGCACTTATGGATGTTAAAGAAAAAAAATCATAAATATTATATGTGTGTGTGTGTGTATTACAAAGAAGTATGTCTGCTTTTTTTTTACATACATACATACATACATACATACATACATACATACATACATACATAATGTATTTCTTGCTTGCTTCATCTTTACAGAAAGAGTGAGGAGGAAGAAACAAATGCATATGGGTGCAATCAATACCCTCTCCAAGACTAATGAAAATAGACAAGAAAAATGACATGCAAAATTCAAAATTCTCTTATCACAGGGAGGCCAGCCCCAAAACCAACCGAACGAGAGAGCAGAGAAGAAAGTCTACATATGAAGTGGATCTCAATGAACGTCGATAGGAGGAGATCCATTCAGGTCAAAGAAACGTCGCCTGGATCCAGCCCAATGGTTTACAAGTCCACGGTGGCAAATTACCAATCAGATTGCAACAACTTGCCTCTAGAAGTTGTGGGTGCTCCAATCCTGGAGGATTTTGAGAAGAAATTGGACCACCATTTGTCTAAAATAGTATAGGGTTTCCTATACCAGAGGGGTGGACTGGAAGACCTCCAAGGTCCCTTCCAACTCTCGTTATTCTGCCCAACTGAGCACTTTACTCGATTAGGGAAAAAGGAACAAGCGAAGCAACTCTTGTGTGCAATGAGAAGGAGAAATGTGGATTAAGGTTACCCACAAGGGGAGAAGTGAGAGCCCAGGAGGGCTGTAAGAAGGAAGCATAGCCTGCTGGGTGAGGGGGTGAGGAGGGGCATTGCATCGCAGGGTGCCCGGAAGCCACAGGTGCATGAGGGAGGGGTGGTCCCGGGTGAGGCAGCCCAGCCTTTACTGGGCAAGATGCCTCAGGGGAGGGGGGGGGGAATCTTCAAAGCATGAAATGGTTTTATGGTATGGGACTTTCCCATGGGATTAGCTGTGTTTATGTTTCCATGGTTTTCTCAAGTTTTATTTTTAGTTGTTCTGTTTGCTTGTACTCTGCCCAGACTCACACTTGGAAGACGGGTGGCTGTATAAGTAGGTTAGATAATAGATAGATCAGCTAGATAAGGAAGGGGGAGGAAGGATAGGTAGATAGGTGATAGATAGATAGATAGATAGATAGATAAAAATAGATAGAAGGATGGATGGATGGATGGATGGATGATAGGTAGATATAGACAGATGATAGATAGATGAGATAGATAGATAGATGGATGATAGATATAGATAGATAGATAGATGATAGACAGATAGATGATAGATAGATGGATGACAGATATAGACAAGACAGACAGATAGATAGATGATGGATGACAGATATAGAGACAGATAGATGATAGATTAGATAGATAGATAGATAGATAGATAGATAGATAGATAGATAGATAGATAGATAGATGATGGATGGATGATAGATATAGAGATAGATAGATAAATAGATTAGATAGATAGATAGATAGATAGATAGATAGATGATAGATATAGAGATAGATAGATAGATGATAGACAGATAGATGATAGATAGATGGATGACAGATATAGACAAGACAGACAGATAGATAGATGATGGATGACAGATATAGAGACAGATAGATGATAGATTAGATAGATAGATAGATAGATAGATAGATAGATAGATGATGGATGATAGATATAGAGATAGATAGATAAATAGATTAGATAGATAGATAGATGATATAAGAGATAGATAGATAGATAGATAGATAGATAGATAGATAGATAGATAGATGATGGATGGATGATAGATAGAGACAGATAGATGATAGATTAGATAGATAGATAGATAGATGGATGATAGATATAGAGACAGATAGATAGATGATAAGAGTAGATAGAGAGAGAGATGGATGGATGGATGGATAGATAAGACATAGTGATAGACAGATATGGATAGATGATAGGTAGATAAATAGATAGATAAGATAGATAGAATATATTGTTTTTCCAACACAGGTGCAAAATCATTTTGTTCCCCCTCATATATACACATATATGTGTTATGTATATTTATATGTGTGTGTATGTGTGTATATATATATATGTATGTATGTATGACATGTGTGTATGCATGCATGAATATATGCATATTTATATGTGTAAACCTGTGTGTGTATATATATATATATGCGTGTGTGTATAATGTACATACACACACATTATAAAACATTTTGCAAAGCAAAAAAGAAACCCCCCCACCCCTTTCAAAAAAAGGCCCTGGTCCCCCGTTTCTTGTGAGCCCCTCCTCCTGCCCGCCTTGGCCCAGCCAGCGCCTCAGAGAAGGGAGACCCCCCCCCCCCCCCCCCCCCCCCCCCCCCCCCCCCCCCCCCCCCACCCCCACCCCTGAGAGGCTGCCTTTCTCCTTGCGGGGAACCGTCTCTGGGCCTCCTGGAGAGGACTCCCCCCACCCTAAAAACCCCCCTCCCCTCACTCACGGCGTCCCCCCCTCCCCCTCCGACCGAGGCGCCCCCTCACCCAGCTGCTCCGCCGGCGGCCGCCTCAGCCTCGCCCCCCCCCACCTCCTTTGTCACGTGACGGCGGGCTGGACAGGAAGCCGCCGCCGACGTCGCCGCACAGCCCAGCCCAGCCAGCCAATGGGCAAGCCCGTGCGTGAGCGCGGGGCACGCCGGGAGATGGAGTCCTGTACCTCCTCTGTTCGGGGCGCCCTCGCGCGGGGAGCGTCGGGAACTGTAGTTTGGCTTAGCCATTCCTGGGCTGAGAGAAGGATGCAAGGCTTAGGCTGCGAGGGGGGGGAAAGGGCTGATCTGGTTGGGTGGTGATGTTCTCCGCGGTCGGATCCGGTGGATTTGTCTGCAAAAGGGTGCATTGCACCTAAGGAGACCCCGTGCAGTCACCGCTGTCCCGGTTTGGGTCCTGCAGAAGCCCCCACACCCCACACGCACATCTATGCACGACTATGCAATTCTGCATTGCAAGCAATGGGTGGGTTTTTTTAAATCACAGCTTGCAATGCAGAGTGAGCGAGGGTCGGTCCGGTCTCCCCTTTCGTTGAGAGCCCAGCCAAAATTTAGAAGAAATAGAAAATATAATACGTGGATGTTGAGATAACATTATGGATTTTTAAAGGGGTGTGTGTATGTTTTAAATGTTTTAAATGTTTGAGTCATTTTATGTATTTGATTTTAACTGGTTTTAAACTTTGTAATTCTTACTTATTTATTTATTTTTATTTATTTTATTAAATTTCTATACCGCCCTACTCCCGAAGGACTCAGGGCAGTGAACAGCCACAGGATAAGACACATAAATACAAAAATTTAAAATAGAATAAAAACGAATTAAATAATTTGGCTGAACAAATTTAAAATACCCCATAATTTTAAAAAATTATATGTGTTTTAATATGGATGTACACCACCCTGAATCCTTCGGGAGAAGGGCGGTATAGAAGTCTAATTATAAATAAATAAATAGATATAAATAAATAAATTAAGTGGAATATTTCTTATGAAAATAAGCTTTGGATGTATAGTGATATTTTGAAGAGAAGAGGGAGCACAAAAGGATGTTAACCGATTGATACACTATCTAATTATTTGGGAATGATGATGTTTTTATGTTTTGTTTTTGTTTTAAAATAAAATCTTTGCAAAAAAAGAAGAAATAGAATGGTGTTAAAAGCGAAACGTTTGCAAAAAAAAAAAAAAGACAAAAACACTCAGAAAGTCCATGGAAGAAATAATTTAAAAAAACAATAACACCCCCATTAACCTGTATGTCCCAAAGGTGCTTTTTTTTCAGTAGGTAACTGGACTTTCTTGTTTTTTCCTTTTGAAGATGTTTCGCTTCTCATCCAAGAAGCTTCTTCAGTTCTGACTGGATGGTGGGGAAGGGAAGGATTTATATGCCTTGCAGGCAGCTGGTCATTTGCGTCCTTTTAGAGGGGCGTTGAAGATAAACCTCCCAAGTGCTTCAATGACTCTCTAAAATTTAGAATATAAGTAAATCCTTCCATTCCCCACTATCCGGTCAGAGATGAAGAAGCTTCTTGGATGAGAAGCGAAACATCTTCAAAAGAAAAAAGACAAAGTCGAGTTGCCTCCTGAAAAAGCCCCTTTGGGACAACCATCACCTGGATGACGGAGAATCTCTACAGACTTTTAGCTCTACAATTTGGGATGGACACCAGTGGTGAAATCCAAATTTTTTTACTACCTGTTCTGTGGGCGTGTCTTAGTGGGCGTGGTGTGGCTTGGTGGGCGTGGCAGTGGAAGGATACTGCAAAATCTCCATTCCCACCCCACGCCAGGGGAAGGATACTGCAAAATCCCCACTCCTGGGGGAAGGATATTGCAAAATCTCCATTCCCACCCTACTCTGGGGCCAGCAAGAGGTGGTATTTGCCGGTTCTCCGAACTGCTCAAAATTTCCGCTACCGGTTCTTCAGAACTAGTCAGAAACCTGCTGGATTTCACCCCTGATGAACACTCTTGGAATAGTTGTGGGAGTAGGAATGGATTTCCAGAGGAAAAAATTGCAGACTACAGGAACTATTTGCATTACTCTGGTGGTCCTGAGGACACAGATAAACCTCCCAAGTGCTTCAATTACCCTCTAAAAGGACGCAGATAACCAGCTGTCTGCAAGGAATATCAATCCTTCCCTTCCTCACTATCCTGTCAGAGCTGAAGAAGCTTCTTGGGAGGAGAAGTGAAACGTCTTCAAAGAAAAAAAACAAGGAAGTCCAGTTGCCTCCTGAAAAACCATCTCTTTCATCTTCTCTATAGACAGCAGGCAAAAATGCCAGTGGCCTGACATGAAGAGGCAATCTTGCAGGAATGAGATTTAGGAATGAAGCTCCTGTCATCAACCATGTTAATTCCAGCACTTTTTTTTTTAAAAAAAATCACATTATGACCTGATTCGAGCCAAGCGATTCATAATGTGGCCATTTGCTTTGGGCTTCCTTAGTAAGTTATAATTAAACTGAGAGATGCATTGCAGGACGTGTATATGCAAATAGGGTCTTTAGTTAAAGAATGTCTTGAGCATATAACATTCTTGGGTGAATGGCCACGATCTATAGGTAAATTCTCCATGCCTGCATCTCTTAAATTTTATTTGCCACTGGCTTCTCTCTCTACCTACAGCCTGCTTTCTCTTGAAAATAAAACGGACTGCATCGAATCGAAGCTCATGATGATTTGTGTTGTAATTATGTTGGTCTTTAGGATGCCAAAGCACCTGTTATGCTGGGAGAGTTATGGACACTTTGTGAAGCTGATTAGCGGCTCTATTAGTGATTCCTAAACGTATGTCCAATATGGCAGAGTGTCTCGTGAGTTTTGAAAATCTTCCATAGCAGACTTGATCTTCTTGTTCAGATAGATGGTCAGCATTCATTCAAGTTGAGTTTCATTCTCTCTCTCTCTCTCTCCATCCATATCTCTATCCATCTATCCCTATCCCTATCCATCCATCCATCCCCCCTCTCATCCATCCATCCCTCTATCTATCTACCCATAGCTCTATCCATCTCTATCATTTATCTATCCCTATCTCTATCCATCTCTATCATTTATGTATCTCTCTCTCTCTCCATCTATCCCTATCCATCCATCCATCCATCCCTCTCTCATCATCCATCCATCCATCACTCTATCCAACTCTATCAGTTATGTATCCATCTCTCTCTCTCTCTCTCTCTCTCTCTCTCCCTCTCTCTCCATATCTCTATCCATCTATCCATCTATCCATCTATCCATCTATCCCTATCCATCCATCCATCCATCCATCCATCCATCCATCCATCCATCCATCCATCTATCCATCTATCTATCTATCTATCTATCTATCTATCTATCTATCTATCTATCATCTAATTTTCTATATGACTGGTTTGGTTCTGCAACCCAACAAGACAGACACAGACTTCAGAGGATAATACTGCATGAGTCAAAAAGAGGGCTGTGAAAATATTTGCAGACCTCTCGCATCCTGGACATAAACTGTTTCAACTCCTACCCTCAAAACGAGGCTATAGAGCACTGCACACCAGAACAACTAGACACAAGGACAGTTTTTTCTGGAATGCCATCACTCTGCTAAACAAATAATTCCCTCAACACTGTCAAACTATTTACTAAGTCTGCACTACTATTAATCTTCTCGTTGTTCCCATCACCCATCTTCTCCCACTTATGACTGTATGACTGCAACTTGGTTGCTGGTATCCTTACGATTTATATTGACTGTTTCCCTATGACTATCATTAAGTGTTGTACCTTATCATCCTTGACGAATGTATCTTTTCTTTTATGTACACGGAGAGCGTATGCACCAAGACAAATTCCTTGTGTGTCCAATCACACTTGGCCAATAAAGAATTCTATTCTATTCTATTCTATCCTTAAAAAACAGCTTTTACGAAAGAAATAACCGAAAACATTCAGTGAGTGCAATTTTTTCCCTGGCAGTTTATTATGGTATGAAGGAAAAAACAGTTTGGTGTGTCTGACATGAATGTTAATTTTACAAATGAAGGAGGAGGTTGTGGCTATTAAAATATGGTTACACAAAGTAGGAACATTTTTTTTTTTTTGAAGAAGTGTACAGTACAATGGATTTCTTTGATAAACAGACTCTTTAAATATACATGACAGAAAAAACATCCAAAGTTAAGTTATGCTGTGTTTTTAATCGACATCTTTATCCCGGGGAATTGGGGCACGAGGGGGGTGGGGAATCTGTATATTAAAAACAGAATACAAAATAATAATAATAATTTGGAGCCAAAAACAAAGCATTTGTATGCTACAAATATACATGATTGAGCTGGGCAAATCAGAAAGACAATTGTTTTTAGAGCTGGGCATCCTGGCATAGATAATTTTGCAAACCTAGCCGTGGCATTCTAATACGCTCTCTTGATTTCTCCAGGGGCAGCTTTGCATATGTCTTGGTTGGTGGAGTCCTTGATTTACGACCGTTCACTTAGTGACCATTCAAAGTTACAACTGATCCAAAAATAGGGCTTACAGCCTGGATTCAAATCGCGTCCCCTCTGCAGTCACATGGCCAATCTGGTGCTCAGCAACATAGCCACAATGATGGCTTATGAAAAGTGCCCCGCAGTCGCATTTTATGACGGTTTCCCTGAAAACGGGCACTTACGTCGGGTTTTCAGCAAAACCATGCCAATCAGGAAACATTGGTTTGCTTAAGAGCCGTGGCATTCGCTTAATGACTGCGGCGGCTAATTTATGACATTTTTCTTAACGCTTGCCACAAAAAAAAAAAAAGAAGAGCTTGCAAAGATGGTTTTACGACTGTCGTACAATTATCATGGACAGATTACGTATGCCGAGGACTGCCTTTACTCTCAAGTGGTGTGTGTGTGTGTATGTGGCCTTGCCGATGTATGTTTGGGAAGGAAGTAGCTACTCTCAGCTGTGCACTTTTCTTTTGAGATTATCCCCGGGGTTCGTTCACACCTACTGTTCTGACCTAGGCTTCCTTAGAAAGTATTTATTTATTTTATTTATTTTATTTAAATTTGTATACCGCCCTTCTCCTAGTGGACTCAGGGCGGTGCACAGCCAAGTAAAAAACATCCAATACAAAATTTAAAAATTTAAAAGAATTATACCCTTTGGCCAAAAATTAAGTATACGGCACAATCTTCGTCCCGGCAAACCTCTTTAATTCAAACGGCTGTGAATTATTGTCGTTCACAGTCCGAAAGGCTTCTCAAACAGTCTTTCAGGGGAGTGTTTACAAACACCCACCTAATCTCCCTTGGAATGCTGCCAGAGAATTAATTGCCACACGCAGGGCAAGGCCAAACTTAGCACAGAGTCAAACAGAACTTTCCCAGAGCTTTTACCGGCCAGATGAACTAATTGCTTCCTGCAAAAGCTCACGTCCCGTTCGCTTCTCTTTTATGTCTTATGGGAAGGGCCAATCATCTCCAAGCCTTACTCCCAAGTCGACCCTGTTTCCTTAATTGTTCCTGTCTTCTGGCAGCTCTGCGCATGCGCACACTGGGAATAGGCTCCCGCTGTTCTTCTGCCTCGCTGATGTCAGACTCCGAAGAATCTGGAGGCAGCAAAGAACTACCAGATGGCCTTGGCTCCCTCTCTGCCTCCGACTTAGAGCCCTCGTCTGAGCCTTCCCCAGACTCCAGGACTGGCCCACGTTCCTCCCCAACCTCCTCACTGTCCGAATCTGCTGCCAGCTCTGGTACACAACACCTACAGATGCATTTATTGGGACTCCTAATATTTCAATCGCTTCTTTTCTTTTTTAAAAAAAGAATCAAAGTAATTAAAGGGGAAACTACAGAGCACTGGTGTCTTTAGTTAGAGGTAGCACAACACAGGAATTGTTAGAAAATTAAAACAAAAACGAGGCTTCCGTTCGCCTGTGTGTCCAGGAGGTGTACAAATAACAGAAAGAGCTAGAAGAAAGCAAAGAACCGAACAATCTCAGAAGATTGCTTTTGGGGAAATTGATTTTTCTTTTTTTTTTTTTTACAATTTCCAGGAATCGGCTAATTTGGAGCAATTATGTTTTTAAGGAGAATGTTCACACCGGTTTTTTTGTTTTGTTTTTTAACACAGACTACATCAGATTCAAAGAATTGGCTTTCCAATGCATGTAACACCTCACCCAGTGTTTCTACTGGTTCGCCCCAGTTCGTGCGAACTGGTAGCGGCGAGGGGCTCCACTCACCCGCCCACATGTCATCACGGATGCTCTGCGCATGCGTACAAGCGCTATGTGCGAGCACTCACGCTTCCGAACTGGTAGCGACGGTAAGTGAAACCCACTACTGACCCCACCCCAAATTTTGCCTGTCCCCCCTTAAGATTGCCGTTAGAAGAGACTCACTGCGTGAAGAAACCCCCAGATGGGAAAAAACCCAAAACCCCGACATTTTTCCATTTTGTGTAGCAACTTGTCACACGGAGCTATTTTGTGAAGCTGTTTTGGCGGCTGATGAAAAAACGGGGATTTATCCAATTTGCGCTAGGAGAAGGACGGAAGTTAAGAATAGCTGCGGATTTTACTTTCGGTTTATTCTGTTTTCCAGGGCACCCCTCATTCATACGTTATGTCAAAAACATAAAATATTTGATGCTGTAATACACAGTATTACTGGAACTAACAATAATATTTGCATATTTAGAACAAAGTGTAATTCCTATAATATAAGAAAAAAAAAAGGTAGTCTATAAGGTATTTACAGCGTCCAGCAAAGAAGTATAAATACTTCCATATTTAATGTTTAGGAAAACATAATTTACAAAATATTCAAATATGTACACAGCTGCTTGAAAAAAACAAAACAAAAAAACAACCCACCCGAGGGCAGTTAAGCAAAGTGGACATCCTTTTTTCCTTTCGATTCGGGACAAAAAAAGATTATTTAAAATATGTTTTTGTCACTGCTTGGGTTCCGTTCCAGATCCTGCAAAATTATTTACACTTCCTTCCGTTCCTCTCGAGAATCAGACATGTCCGGCGCTCTGAACGTGTTGTCCTAAAATATCATCTATCAATGTCAAATTATTTAGCCAGTCTTCATCCGTGCCACCGCTGTTCTTCATCAAGCAGTCGATCAAGTCAGCTTCGCTGCACGTCCCGGGCAACATGGCGTTGTTCTGTTGTGGTACAAAGTCGTATTGCGGCGACAACTCCAAAGCAGCGTTCATCCTGTTGAACGTTACGGAGGACTGCCCAGTCGAGCCTGGATAACTGGGTGGCCCAACGTCTGGGCCAGCGTTGAGTTGGCTGAACCCCGAGACCCCTTGGGGCATGGATTTCATGACATTCATGGCAGCTGGCAAGGGTCCTCTGGTTAAACCATGTCTCAGGTTCTGATTATTTGGAGGGATTAAGCTTTGGTTAGAAGGTCCAAGGTTCATTTTTTGCATCTGTCTGGCCTGCATCCCGGGAACAATCTGGTTGGGTGGAGGTCCGGCTTGGTGAGAAAACGGTTGGCTGGGGATGCTTGACCTGATGTTCTGTTTGGAGAAGATGGGGTTGTTTGGGAACTGGTGCATGGTGGCCTCCATCGGATTTTGGCTGGGCATCCTGGGGACGACTGTTGGCGTCCACATCGGCGCCGAAGAATTGGAGTAGATGGCAGGCATCCTGGCCATGGTGGGTTGTCTCAAGTGCTGCTGGGCGGAAGAATGGGTGACCAAAGCCCCAGCTGCGAAGTTGGGCGCAGCCATCCCTGGCCGGGCTGCCGGATGGCTGTGAACGGTTTGACATCCCGAAGTCATGGCCAACGAGTTTTGGCTTCCTCGGAGCGGGAGGTTGAAATCGGTATTCTGGGGGAAGATGGCGGGTTGCTTGTTGGGGTTATGGGGGATCATCACCATGGCTCCGCTGTTCTGGTTCACGGCGGTGGGCCCAAGGCCAGGGCCCAAGGTGCTCTGGAGCATCCCTTGGGTAGGTTGCATCATGCGGTGGGTGGAGCCAGGGGATTGCATGGACTGGCTGCAGTCGGTCGGCAGGGACTGCGAAACTGCTGGGAACAAACGAGCAAGACCTGGAATTAGTAAGTGAGCAAAATTGCTCAACAGTCATGCCTTCAAAATTATTATTATTATTATTATCTCTTGTATTCATTAAACATGAAACTCAGTCAACTGAACATTTAAAAATGTATCACATATATCATTGACTGGCTGCCCGTATCAACCATCTGCATCCTAGGTATCGACCAAGTATTTTTCTTAAGATATACGATGTTCCGAGTAGCGCAGTTTTTTGCAGTTCTGCTGGTGTTATTGCAGGAAGCTGCAATTTCTTGATATGTTTTGTAAAATTCTTGGACATGGTACCAAGTGCCCCGATGATAATGGGTATCACTGTGACATGTTTCATCCATAGTCGCGTAGTTTCGATGGCCCGGTTGTGATATTTCGTGATTTTTTTCCCCCAGTTCTTTTTCTTCGACTTTGGCGTCGAAGACTTTGGTACCAAAGACACTCCCTGACTTTGGTATAGGGATATCAATAAATTGTACACTTCAGTTTTCAACAAGTGTGATATCTGACGTGTTGTGTTCCACATGACGATATGTCTGTTTTCGAAGGATCGTCATTTTAGAACACAACACGCCAAATATCACAGTAGTTGAAAACCGAAGTGTACAATTTATTGGTATCGCTTATTATTATACTTTTATTCATTAAACATGAAACTCAGTCAACTGAACATTTAAAAATTTATCACATATATCATTGACGGGGGCTGATGATTGATACGGGTTGGCCAATAAAGAATTGAATTCTCCTCTCCTCTCCTCTCCTCTCCTCTCCTTTCCTCTATATTTCTATTGTATTCTATATTTCTATATTTCTACTCTACTCTACTCTACTCTACTCTACTCTACTCTACATTTCTATTGTATTCTATTTCTATATTTCTATATTTCTCCTCTCCGTTCCTCTCCTCTCCTCTCCTCTCCTCTCCTCTCCTCTCCTCTCTCCTCTCCTTTTGTCTCCTCTATATTTCTATTGTATTCTATTTCTATATTTCTGTACTTCTATACTTCTATACTTCTATATTTCTATATTTCTACTCTACTTTACTCTACTCGCACAGCAGATTAAATTTACACAACAATTTCCTTTTTCTTACTGTGTTTCCCCAAAAATAAGACCTTATCTTATATTTTTTTTGACCCCCCCAAATCAGTGCTTGGCCTTATTTTTGGGGAGGTCTTATTATTTTAGGGTGTGTAAAGCAAGACGGGGCTCCTCTTGCCGTCTTACCTGATTTCCAGCTCTATGTTTAAATATTTTCGAGGAGGGCTTATTTTTGGGGGGAGGCTTATTTTAGCGCATGCGCTCCAAAGTCCGATTGGGCTTATTATCAGGGGAGGTCTTATTTTCGGGGAAACAGGGTAAAAGAACACATTGTGGTTGAATATTCCTTCTTACCGGGAAACTGGTTCATCTGTTGACCTACAAAGGGACTCCTTTGCTCAGCTGCCACACCCATCATGCTGTGCCTCTGCTTTTCCTAGGAACAAGAACAACAGCAAAAAAGTTGAGTCCACACACTGGGTGCATTTTCTTTGCAAGGCAAATGCAGATAAAAAAGAATTGCTTCCCGTTGCCAGCTATAGATTCACGAACTTTCCCTGGAAATATTTTTTTTTTAAAAAATACCTGCCTTTTGTCTCCTTTGACACCGGTGTTTCTCAACCTCCCCCATTTTATGATAGGTGGACTTCAACTCCCAGAATTCCCCAGACAGCATGCTGATAGTCCTACCTGGAGCTGCTGCTGTTGCTGCTGTTGCTGCTGCTGCTGCTGTTGCTGCTGCTGCTGCTGTTGTTGTTGCTGCTGTTGCTGCTGTTGCCGCCGTCTCATGATTTGCTGCTTTAGGAGTTGGTTCCTCATGGTGTAGTCATTCACCAACGGTGGAGCCTGGGCAGGCACTGACCCTGAGTTGGCGGGGACTCCTGGCTCCTGCATCCGAGCACCGAGGCCAGGCGCCTGGTCCTGGAAGAGAAGCAAGACAAAGATGGCCGTCAGGCGCAAAGAATCGGGACCGTCTGTTAGATTGCAGAATAGAAAACGCATTCAACACAAGACTTTGAGTCAATGAAAATGCAACACTTTAGCCAGATAAGGCTCAACGGAATTCAGGAAAGGGCTGGACTATTTGTGAGAATTGCGCTCTTGTCAGAAGGTGCTTCTGGGTTGATTAGCAATAGCAATAGCTCTTAGACTTATATACCGCTTCCCAGTGCTTTTACAGCCCTCTCTAAGCGGATTACAGAGTCAGCCTCTTGCCCCCCAACAGTCTGGGTCCTCATTTTACCCACCTCGGAAGGATGGAAGGCTGAGTCAACCTTGAGCTGGTCAGGATTGAACTGCTGGCAGTGGGCAGAGTTAGCCTGCAATACTGCATTCTAATCACTGTGCCACCAGGAAGGAGAATGACAGAGGGAGGGAGGAAGAGAAGGAGGATGGATGGATGGATGGAAGGAGGAAAGGAAGGAGGGAGGGAGGGAAGAAATAGCAATAGCATTTGGACTTATATACTACTTTACAGCCCTATCTAAACAGCTTACGGAGTCAGCCTCTTGCCCCCAACAATCTGGGTCCTTATTTTAACCCTAACCCTAACCCTCATTTTATCCACCTCGGAAGGACAGAAGGCTGAGTCAACCGTGAGCCTGGTGAGATATGAACTGCCAAATGGCAGTGAGCCTGCAGTCAGCAGAAGTAGCTGCAGTATTGCATTCTAACCACTGCGCCACTGCGGCTCCTAGTCCGTGACATCACCGTTGTCTGGGGAATGCCGTGTCGGGGTTCCTTTCATGTCCCCGGCAGGAGCGGGAGCGAAGGACGGGAGCTCAACCCTGCCCCCGGTTCACACCGGTTCTATAGAACCGGTAGTAAAACCGGCGGGAGGCTCCGCCCACCGACCCCGATGTCATCACAGAAGAGCGTGCGTGCAAGTGAAGCAAGTGCGCACGCGCGGTCCTGCTGCAAACCACTAGTAAAGGTAAATAGAACCCACCCCTGTGCCCCACGCCAGCTCTCGGGTCTCGAACGCAGGCTTGTTAACCTTCAACCCTAACCGCGCGAGCCACCGTGCTCCTTGTTTATGGGAATTTAGGCAGTGGTGGGATTCAGCCGGTTCTGTCAGATCGTGCAAACTGGTAGCGGCAATTATGGGATGCTCTGCTCACTTGCCCGGATGTATTGTGTGACTACTGCACATGTGCATAAGGCCATGTGGATGCGCAGAGGTGGCGTGTGCGAGCGAAGCGAACCAGTAGGGAAGGTAAATGAATCCCACCTCTGAATGTAAGGGACTCTAGGCTGCTGACACACTTAACTCCGCCCCCAGCTCTGCTTGCTTTTCTTGCCCTTCTCCTACAACGCCCTGCTGAATCGAAAGAGGAAGATGACCATCAAGGCTTCTAGAGACCCTGGTACCTTATCTCAGAACACATCCAGTAGGCTCTACAAGTACCGTAGTCACAACCACAATTGGGACTAGATATTTCTGCTGCTAAATAAACTATATTTAATAGAGACGTGCTCATGTTTTGTGAATGCAGCCGTTTTCTCTGTAGTGTTAACAATTAAAATTTGATGGCCACGGTAGCTTCTTCAAGCCAAGGCATTTGTTGAAGGCCCTACTTATGCAACTCTGAAAAGAAAAAGAAAAAAAATCTACCCTTCTGTTCCTTTGAATACTCTTTTTTTCCCCAGAAAAGAACTTTCTGTTTTTTTTTCTAATTGATATTCAGGCTTCCTTAGAAGACGTTTCTGAGTTTATTTTTAGAAGAGGCAAGGATGTGTAATTGCAAAGGTTGGGGTTTTGATATGACTAATCCTTCCTTCATTTTGCAAGCCTCTTCGGCTGCCTTGATGGTCCTTGGAGATCTGCTTTCATCACAGGAAGTCCAGAAAGACAGAGAAATTGAGAAAAGGATAGCAAAATTAAGGAGGAGAGATTTTTGTCCACAATCTTTGGTCATCCCGTCCTTCAAAAGCCAGGTCAGCAAATACCACCCAGGAGAACTTAACTAACCTTCTCTTCTGTTGTTGAAAAAAGCAAACCAAAAACATATTTTCCCCCAATCTGAGGAAGAAGATGGCTGAACGCCAATTTAGTTTCAGTTCCTAAATCTCAACAACAACAACAACAACAACAACAGATCTTCTCTCTCAACATGGAGGAGGATGCAAGCGCTAAGATAGAAAGCAACGGAGGAGGAGCTGCCAGCAATTTTTCTTTTTTGCTTCATAATTCACCAGCCTCCTGTTGCATTCTACATTATGGATGACCTCTTGTTATTACTGGCGTACATACTGCATTGCCAGACTGTTTGAAACTGGACCACACTTCCTTTGTTTGGCCCATGGAAGCCTGGACCCTTTGTTTGAGAGGTGGTGTTATCAGGAGATAAGCCACCCAGAAGCGGGGAGACTGCCGTTGGACATCTAACCACGAGGGCCATGCCAAGATGAAGAAAACAGGAAATCAGCCCGGAAACTTTGGACTGTGTTTATGGAAGAGCAAAGCAGGACGGGAAACGAGTAGAGACAGGACAACATCTGCAGCACCGTTGCAGAATTCTTCTCCCTCCTGGTCTTGGCTTAATGGAAGTTTTTTTTTAATCAAAGGAGGTCAGTGACATTGGTTCGGTTTTTGACACACCACAACTTCTGAAATACCTCTGCAACGACTCACTGGAAGAATCTTAAAACGGGTGGGGGGTGATTAATCGCATTTGCCCATCCCACAAAAGCAGCCAAGAGTTTTGTGGTACTGCAAAGAGTAAACATTTCATAGTTGCAAAAAAAAAAAAAAGTTATCTTGGTGACTATCTCTACACCGTCTCCATGGCCAATTCAATTCCCGGGTCCCAAGCAAACTTATGACGGTGCGACGGCGTGTCTATCCACAACGGTGTGTATTCCACAAGAGTTTGTTTGTGAGAAGCTGCGAGATGCTTCCTTCGTTTCGTAAGTGTTGACCTGCCTTTCTGGATTAGGGGCTCATGATAGAGGAGCCACCAGTTTCTCCAGTCCTGCTTGCAAAGCCAACAGCTGGTCCCGCTGAGTTTTGGAGTCCTCCTCAGAGTCAGCTGCAGAAGGCAAACCAAGTTGGACGTCTGATGGATGCCAAAAAATCCCCGCGGCCTCATCTGCTCCTGAGATTCTCATTCCGAAATGAAATCCTTCAAAAAGTTGGCAGCAGGTTGCAGAAGTTCCATACAGGTTGGTGGCTGGACAGTGCCTCGCCTGTACGTTTTCCCTGTCTTCAAGCCAATACTGAAGACACGGCTCATGTATTATTTCCACGGTCAACGTTGAGGAATTTCCCCTCTCGGCATTCAGCGGGCACCTGCGATTTGGGAACTCCGCACCACCGTCCTTGTGTACCGTATACCTTGCGCTCTGTAAACGGTGGCAGCCTTCTAGTTTCACCCCCTCTTCAGATCCTTCAAGAGCCCTCTCTTCCGCTTCGCTTTTTGCTCTTTTCGTAGCGAAAGCCACCACTTCACTGCCTCTTCTCTCTCCTCCTGACACCTGAGTCTCCCGCGGATGTTTGTCAAGAGATGGCTCAGAATAAATCAGGCTGCCAGTGGAGCCACCTGAAAGACCAAGGTTTGCTCAGCCTCAGGAATCTCAAACTGCCCAAGGAGCTGCTGATCCAGTTCTACAGAGGAATGATTGAGTCTGTCACCTGCACCTCTATAACTGTCTGGTTTGGTTCTGCAACCCAACAAGACAGACACCGACTTCAGAGGATAATTAGAACTGCAGAAAAAAACAATGACTACCAACCTGCCTTCCATTGAGGACCTGCATACTGCACGAGTCAAAAAGAGGGCTGGGAAAATATTTACAAACTCCTCGCATCCTGGACATAAATTGTTTCAACTCCTACCCTCAAAACGACGCTATAGAGCACTGCACACCAGAACAACTAGACACAAGGACAGTTTTTCCCCGAACGCCATCACATCCTTCGCTTTGTTGCGAAGGTTGTTGAGAGTGTGGTGGCACGACAGTTTCCCCGGTACCTGGATGAAACGACGTATCTAGATCCGTTCCAGTCGGGCTTCAGGCCTGGGTACAGCACAGAAACGGCATTGGTCGCGTTGGTGGATGATCTCTGGAGGGCTCGGGACAGAGGTTGTTCCTCTATCCTGGTCCTATTAGATCTCTCAGCGGCTTTTGATACCATCGACCATGGTATCATGCTGCACCGGTTGGGGGGGTTGGGGGTGGGAGGCACCGTACTACGGTGGTTCTCCTCCTTTCTCTCCGACCGGTCGCAGTCTGTGTTGACAGGGGGGCAGAGGTCGACCCCGAGGCCCCTTATATGTGGGGTGCCACAAGGATCGGTCCTCTCGCCCCTTTTGTTCAACATTTATGTGAAGCCGTTGGGCGAGATCATCCGTGGTTTCGGGGTGGAGTACCATCAGTACGCTGACGACACCCAGCTGTACATCTCCACCCCGGACCACCCCAACGATGCCCTTGAAGTGATGTCCCGGTGCCTGGAGGCCGTACGGATCTGGATGGGGAGAAACAGGCTCAGACTCAACCCATCCAAGACCGAGTGGCTGTGGTTTCCGACATCCCGATATAGTCAGCTGGTGCCATCGCTGACTATTGGGGGCGAAGTATTGGCCCCCACGGAGAGGGCTCGCAACTTGGGTGTCCTCCTGGATTCACGGCTGTCTTTAGAAGAGCACTTGACGGCCGTGACCGGGAGGATTTTTCATCAGGTTCGCCTGATTCGCCAGTTGCGTCCCTTTCTGGATCGGGACTCGTTACGCACGGTCACTCATGCCCTCGTCACCTCCCGTCTGGACTATTGTAACGCTCTCTACATGGGGCTCCCCTTGAGGAGCACTCGGAGGCTCCAACTGGCGCAGAGTGCGGCCGCGCGGGTGGTGATGGGAGCGACGTGGCGCTCCCATGTAACGCCTCTCCTGCGCGAGCTGCACTGGCTCCCGGTGGTC